CGAGATCATCCAAACTTTAGGTGCCAGAATCGGGCACCTCAAATCATGCACGTATTGCACATATAGCAATTCCATTAAAAAAAAATAGAAAAGTAAAATCCTACGAATTTCCTAACAAAATAGTTTGTGGCGTCCCAAAAATGACCCATATCCCAGGGTGAACCAAGGTGGCCTGAAACTCATGGCGTTCTTCTTTGTAATCACCCAGGCCTCAGCGGAAACGCCGGAGCTGTTGATATCATCATCATCATCATCATCCTCATCCTCATCCTCATCATCATCATCATCATCACCATCATCATCATCATCATCATCATCATCCTCATCATCATCATCATCATCATCATCACCATCATCATCATCATCATCCTCATCATCATCATCATCAGAATATAAAATAATAGCAATGGCAATGATGGTGATGATGATGATGAGGATGACAGAATAATAATAGACGAGTAAGAATAGTAACAGCAAGAAAAATATGATTATAATAGGGACGATCATCAGAAGTTTTTCATCACCACTACCTCACATTGAACGGTTCAATCATCCTCAGGTCCCGCTGGGCCGACGCACACACGGCAAGGTTCTCACCTTGCAGCATGTCAGCCGCTGGGCCAAGTTGCTTCCACACCAAAAAAAGTTCCAACATGGAATCCAAAAAAAACATATCCAATGGTAAAATGAAGACTTCCAAAGACCATGTTTGGGATTCAGTAAATTCAGAAAACGGGACGGGAAATAAGCAGAAATCCTCCCTTGCCAGACAAGCAGATTGCTCAACTGCCTCGCTTGCCGGTAGGCTATCTGCTTGCTACCCCTAAAAACGTGGGAAAGGAAAATCTGCTCATTACAGTTGTCCCCAAACACTGGGTCACGTCTGAAAATTGTTTCGGCTGGTTTAATTATTAATTGTTTTCCGTCAGTGACCGAACTTCCGACCCGTACAAATCTACAGTAATGAACCGAAGAATGCCATTTCCCCGACATGAGCAAATTGATCAGGTGCCCCGTATACAGTGAAAATAGTTTGCTTATTACAGTCTGAGTGGCCCTACTCCATTCAGTGAACAATATTTTTTCTAATGGGTATCATGTAAAGGGGCCTAAAAATTTGCCAGCCCAGAGTAAGGACATAATGTTTGGCTCTTGGTTTTGCAGCAACCCTTTCTTGTTGCAATTATCCCTCAAAGCTTCTTTACAAATGAACGCTTTTGACACTGCTTTGGACTCCTAGAAGCGGCAGCCTTCTATACTGTGCTGTTACGATTGATTGAGACTGCTTAAACACATTGTTCTAGTCTGATTCAGTTGCTGGGCTGTGGCCCGGCTATTTCTTGAAATTGTTGCCCAAAGAAGTCCCAACTTTGAAGTAGCTGTAATAAGCAGATTTCCAAATCTGCTTATTGCAGTCAATGCATGCACTCAGGCATTTGTAGGCTCCTGGGACTGGTGTTCACTATTTTTCCGGCAATTTCTCTCAGAATGCCTTTCAAACATGCATTTGCGCTTGACTTTGGGCTTGTGCTTTTGTCGCAACCCTTTCTTATGGAGGGCTATTAATTTTTGGATTTTTTTTAATCCGGTTTAGGTATTTTCTTTGGATTCCTGCTTTTCTGCTGTTCCTGCTTCTCTGCTTTTCTTGCTTCTCTCTTTTCTGTTTCCTTGTTTTTTTGCTTTCTGTTTTTCCTGGTTCGCTGTTGTTCTGCTTCTCTGCCTTTCTACTTCTACGTGTTCTTCTTCTGCAGTCATGCGTTTTCATAATATTTCCAATAAGGACAGCAATACCCTCCCATATTCCGTGTTACCTCTATATAGCAGGGTTCAGAACTCGAATTTGAATTGTGCAAGCATCTCTAATAAGCAGATTCCCAATTTGACCAATTCCCACATATGGGAATCTGCTTATGACAGGTCTGATTCTAGGGTCCCCATTACCGCAAATCCTTATTTGAGCAAGTTTGAAGGTTTTGGGGGTGTGATAAGCAGGTTTTTTTTCGGTTTATAAGCATTATATATAAGCTGTCCCATTCTATACAGGTTTTTAGGTCCCTTAGTTACAAATCATTTTTCGCCACGCTTAGTTACAAATCATTTTTCGCCACGCTCAAGGAACATCCAAGTATATTCTAAGCAGATCTATCTGCAGGGTTTGTCTCGGGTTTTCAATATGTTCCGAATATAATATGATATACTATATATACAGTAATATAGTAGACCATAATATATACCATGACCATATATATATGTATATATATACCATATAACATGTCATTATTTGTATGATAAGGAAAAAACAAGAAGCAAAAAAAACATCATACAGTACCATCAGGGTCGCATCCGAGCAACTGATCATCTTCACCACCAAGGGCGGATAACCCTCCGCGCCCTTCATGGCGCTGCTGATCTCCTCGCAGGCTGCGAAAATAGTGGATCTTACTGGAATTTGGGTGTTTGATAATATGGATGTGGGTCAAAATGGAGGACCTAGGGAACCACAGATGTGAATGTCTAGTTTAGTATTAACCATCCATAATTTTGGGGTACCTAATTTTGACCCATAGTCATATCTCTAGACACTGATGGATGGCCGTGATGACTTGTGTTTTTGTTGGAAGGGAAAATTTGAGGGGATCCGCTCTCCCAAGAAGGCCACCGTTCTCGGCATGTGAGACTCGAAAGAAAATCTCCCACACAAGCAACTCCTTTTTTTGTCGCCATGTTTGAGGAACAACTTCTACGGCAGTCGTGTTCCAGCGTTGCATTTTCTAGACACAGGTGGTCTCAACATACAGTACCAGGTGCAATGGTTCGCTTCCTGGTTCGGTTTCTGGACCAACGGGTGGTTGGATTTGAAACCAGTGAATTCATCTCGGGGGGAACCGTCGGCGTTTGAAACCAGTGAGTGGTTCGAAAGCATGCTTGGTAAGGTTCGCCAAGTCCCGTAAGTGAGGTACTGCGCTACCTGTGTTACAGTCATAACAACTACCTGCCCTCTGTTGATACTGTTGATATTCATAGATCCCCAGCCCGAGGGGAATTCGTCTTCGGGGAATTCGTCTTCGTCTGCGGGTGGAAAAGTGATACCCGCAAAGCGGCCTCAATGTGTATATATATATATATATTATACACATATAATGTATAATATGTATACTATATATGCCAAAAGACACCAGGAACATTGGATCAAACTACCAATACCTTCCATTTCCAGCTCCCCCAGCCTCGCACAAGGCGGCATGCATAGACCGAACTACAGCGCTTGTGAGGACTAATTCGTCTCACATCGCACACCGCTGGGGCTGGGGTCAATCCTATCCATCTGTTGGAACACCTGGTGACAGATTGACAAAGATTGGAAGAGTCATCCACACAAGAAACCCAGCACCTGCAGATCATGCACTACGCCAATGCTTCAAGCTCTTCTCTGCACTTGGCATCACTTGGCGCTACAGCTGTCAAGAATTGTGGAACAGGGGAAATCTTGAGTTCTACATTTGTGTTTAATTCCTTCTAAGTGCAAAGAAGCTCAACGACCTACAGCAACAGCCCCCTCCGGACTCTGTGTTCCTTTGGGAAATCTTGCTGCTACAGTGAAACCAAGGGCGAAACTCCACTGCCCTCCCTCGGCAATCCCACGGCAATCCCACGGCAATCCCTGGTGTACTTCGGTTTCATCCTTTCAGCAGCTGCGGTACAATGGGACCAGGCATCCCATGTACCACCACCTGGCACTGCAGCTTACGCAGCGTCGTCAAAAAATAAAGAGCAAACAAAACAAGCCATTTCAGCAGTTTGAGATCCATACGTTGTGTTGGGCAGAATCAATTGCCAAGGCTTCGGTTTTGAACTTAGGTTCCCTGGAAACAGTACTGAGGAGTTTGATGCAAGATCTGAAGATTGCTATCCCTGATACCAACAGACGATCAGTTTTGGGGGCGAAGTTGCCTGTTTTATTGCCACTATCCTGACATACTTCGGTTCTTTCCATGTCTAGCAGTTTCTTCCACATCTGTGTTGGCTAAAATCCACGTTGTTAGTGGTTCAGCTCCTGCTTTTGCAGGCAAATTTCTTGGTAGTTCAAGCAGTGCAATTCTGCCAGATTCTTGTGGTTATAGACTATAGACTATAAGTTTGGCCCTTAGCCATTGGGATCCCCATATCTTCAGGGCCACAGCGTTGCCAGCCTTGCCAATCCTCCCAAGGGAGGTGCCTCGGGAGGGTAGACTTAACACCCAGTAAACTAAGATAGGTAGTAGCCCGATCAAGATCGGTGCAAATCCCACTAACCCTTACACGGTTTTATGCTGTTTTTTGGGGGGATGATTTTGAGGTTGTTGATTTTCTACATCTACAGCAATTGGCTGGAGTGTAGATTTCCAGATTCGTCCATATGTTTCCATTATTGGGGTGATATCCTTAGATTCCAATGGGGCTTTGTCTAAAAAATGAAAAACCCCATTCCATCCACTGCATAAAATTTATCGTAATGGTCCTAAATAAAAATTGCTATATATATAAGAGCTCACGCGCCAATCTTTTTGATCTTGCTCATTGCACTGCGTGGTTTTGTTCACACGCTTTCGACCAAATGGTGATCATCAGCAGGCGGTCGAAAGTTGACCCATTCTTTGGCATAGACTGCTCATAGTGGGAGGGATTCGTGCAGGGTCGGGTACCTTTGAGCAGCAAGTTCACAAGCATGGACACAATCGCACTTACACATCAAGAGCTCACGCGCCAATCTTTTTGATCTTGCTCATTGCACTGCGTGGTTTTGTTCACACGCTTTCGACCAAATGGTGATCATCAGCAGGCGGTCGAAAGTTGACCCATATCTCCCACCCACCATTACCTTGTAACTTGTCTATGCCAAAGAAGAAACCATACGTTCCAAGGTATATTAGCCATCCAGAAGTTTCGAGCACCGTGTAGAGCAGCAGGGAAAAAATCACATAACTGATACACCTCTTGCAAACTGTTGGCAGGAATGGCAGCTAAGTATTGGAAAGACGAAACTTCTTGGATATAGATTTCCATGACTCGCAAATTGATCCATCGTCCTCGGCGACGGGTAAATTCTGAATCTTCTGTTTGTTGAAGTATCCAGGTCGCTCCTCCTGGCCTGAGAGAGCCTGTGTCCAGAGATTTATTATTCAGTTTGACATGCTCCAAACCTAACTCAGCTAAAACTTGTTTGAATCTTGTTCGAAGTGTCTGCCCTGATTTTGCCCATAAACGTTGATGAGGTTGAAGACGGGAGAAAGCTAGATGTGTAACTTGAAGAAGATCAGGAATGTCCAGCTTAGCGCTTTGATGCCTTGCGGCCGTGAACCTTGTTTTAGGTTCCTTCAGCGACAAAAGCGCAAAATTGTTTGTGAAGTTTGTGTCGCAAGGCAATAAGAGGTCCTTCCGCATAGCTTGTAGGAACTCTCCTACGCGTAACAGAGCTCCCCAGGACAATGCCAACATTCCTGCAACATCCAGCCACCCCCATGTAAGGCAAACCGATATGCAAGCCAGCAACACCTGCCACGGCATGGCAATGTGATGGGCGCTCGGCTCATCCCTCACCCACGAAAAGGCTAAGTTCCAAGCCTCTTGCAGTTGTCTACGCAAAGCAGGCTTTTTAGCGGCAATGGCGTTTATTGTTTCAGCATAATGATTATAAGGCCTTCCTGCAGCATATAGGCTTCTACCATACTGAACCAAGAGCTTGTTGATCTCCTCGACTCTTGTAAGATAGCTATCCATCAACGCGTCGAAAGAAATACTTTGCACTCTTAGCCAGTCTCCAAACTGTTCCAAAAAGGAGGACCTCTGCTTGCTAGTAACTCCGAGTACTGGTCTCCCTTCTTGAAGCGGAGGGCGAGCATTTCGCTGCAAGATCCTCTGAATGTCACCAGCATTCCGAGGAAATAAAACGCCATGGCAAGGAACTACGTCAAGGACCACTACGAGCAAAATCCATCTAAAAGCTAAGCATTGACAAGCGAGGAACCGACTCGGACCTTCACCAGGGAAACCCAGAGTCGAGTCAAAGTCCAAACAGTCAAAAACACCAGGCTTGCAATAGCTAAAAGGAGCACAAAGACCAAAAGGAAAACGAGGACACTTAAAGCGAGCACGGTCGGAGAAATCCAGACACTGTGAACCCAAAAGGGATAAAGTCAACCTAATCCAATTAGAGGCCCATCTACGACATTTTTGGAGAGCAGCCAACTTAAAAAGGTCAGACCGATCCCAAGCGGCCAAGTCCATGCCCGGGACAGGGGGGCGGAGGCTAACATTTCTGGTAGGGTCATCTGCAACATTGTGCCTAGTAGGGACAAAACCAAAAACAAGATACAAACCTCCCACGACAGACAAAGCCGCAAGACGAACCAGCAACTTTGAAAGGGCCCTTGAAGAGGATCGGCCCTTGGCACAGGCGCACTTGATCACATTGGAGTCGACCAAGATGACAACTCTGAGTGACTTCCCCTGCCTCACAAGACGGCTAACCAAACGCACAACTGAGGACAATTCCAACAGGTTAATATGCGCTGATACACGGAAAGTCCAGACATCATCCAGGCACCATTTTGAGGACAGGCAGAGCTCATTAATAAGTTGGCTTTCAAGCCCCTGGTATTTACCTGAAGTGGCCTCGGCTTCAAAGTCCAAAAGCCGGTGAATTCCATGAGCCATAACTTGGGCTAAAGCATCCGCTAGGTCGTCAACATAAGTTGCCGACTCCTTGGTGTACGAGCCTTGAACATGGACATGAGTATGCCCTCCTTTGCACCTCCGGGAAATCGGGCTGGTGTCGGCCCATACGCACATGAACATGAAAGCCTTGAGATGTATGGAGCCAAAAGCACACGAGTCAGACCTGACAACTTCCACATTCTCTTTGTCTTTAAGGGCTTGCCATGGGGGCAGGAACTTAATTTTTGAAGTCCAAGGATTCTCTAAAACTGCCGTAACCCCATGCCACCAGCAGACATGAAGCAGAAGGAAACCCACCATTGCTAGTTTAGTACCAATGCTTGTCTGCGGATCGTCTAAGGAAAACCCAAAAGGGCAGGCCCTAGAACGAAGTGCCGGCCTTCTCATGATGCTAAATGTCGTGCAAGGAGGCTCAATCATTACAGCTTTAACCAGTCTGTTCGAAATGAGATAAATCAACCATTCGATCACCCATAGTTTTGAAGCATCCAGCTCTTTGTCGAAGGAGATATCAATAGGGCACCCTACTGAAAAGCCTCGAGCAGACATCTTGGCTGTCACTGTTGCCGCTCCGGCAAACACCTCAATAAAGTCGAAACGGTAAGCAAGGGGCCTACGAACCGTTTCAGACCGTTGTACCTCCAGCTCTTCGAAGTCAATCGACCTTGCAAGAATAGACTGGGTTTGGTCTAACATTTTGGAGTAGCCACCCTTCGAGCGACAGCTTTTCCAAAGAACCTCCACAACCGTCTTATCCTGCAGACTGCTAACAATTGCACCTTTGTCCAAAGAGGCATCGGTGGCGTATATTTCATTAGCAAACCCGGAGGCAATATCTGAAACGGCCAAGGGAGCTAACACCGCCAACAGAGTCAACTCATTTGCTACCTTCCGCGACAATCTAACCAACTTGGGTTGAGAATCCACAAAAACATCCAAGTCAATCAAATGAAATGCATGCTGAAGCACCGACATCAGGGGCCTCCTGTACATCAAAATGGACGTCCAACCTCCAAGAAGGCAAAGATGTAGTGAATCCGAAGTGTGAGACAACTGAGCCACCTGCAGAGACAACCAGGACAAAGCATACCGCTTCTCAGCAGGCGACGACACAAGTACATGCCCTCTGCTTTGGCACTGCTCGGATGCATTTAAACAGGCTCCAATGATTTTGGCTTTCCGCTCACCAGTGATATCCTTATCATCTGAACCTACAAGCTCAAAACGTGAGTAGAGGTCTTTGCTCTTTGCTAGGCATTGCTCCGCAGGGCTAGGCACAAGCAATCCACGTGGAACCTTTGCTATGGCAAAATAATCGTCGATCACCAAACCTTCCATCAGGGAGTCACCCAAAAAAGGACGACTGGCAACTACCCGAGAAGTGTCATCCAAAAGACCTGCAGAACGTAGGACTCCCTCATGCGCTGAAGTTGCAATCTCCACACCTGCATGGTCGCCCTGAAAGATTGATTTGAAGCTTATCATTCCCATTCCTGAGGGGCATAGCGGCAAGGTCTGGCGTTCGGAAACTCCTAGCCTATCCCCCCCAAAAAGCCGAGATGGTTTCTTGGTCTTCTTGGTCTGGGCAAACGCCTCAAAAGCAGCTGTATCCTTTAGGGCATCAAGCGGCAACATGGGACCAACTGTATTTGACAAAGTCCGGTTCTCTGTAGTTCTAAATTGATGGTAGAAGTCGCGCCTGTCTGTACAGATGATTGAAAGGGTCTCATGTCGAGGGTCCAGAGCCAAATCCAAAAGGTCGGGGCCTGTCGGCAAGTCTGATGAGGGTCCTGTCACACGGCCCTCTACAGCATTTCTGCCTCTCCGGTCCCCAATTTGTCTGTCCACTGCCTCATTCTTCAAGCAGTTGAAAACGCGTACAAGCTCGAACCTACGAAAAGACATCAGGTCAGTGTCATGTATATGAAGCAAACCTCTTGCGTCCCACAGTTTTGCTAGCGCCAGAGTCTCCTGCACAGAATCCATTCTTTGAGAGAATTCCCACTCAGCAGGCTGTCTATCTAAAAGGAGGGAATCTGGAAAACGATATGCCATGCACAATTCCGGACTGAGGAACTCCGTTGCATCAAAATTTCCACGACCCACCACCTTCAGACGGCTTGCATTTAAGCTCTTGTACGGCTCAAGTTCTGGAAAGAGGCTATTGTCCATTGGCACTTCATGACCCGGGTAAATTTTTTCATAGGGTCCTGCTCCTACACCCAGTTTCGTCAAAGCATCTGAAAGCTCAGAAATTCTTGCAATCAAATTCGGAAAACGTCGACCACACTTAATCACATCAAATGACTCAGATGGGCCGTCAGCCAGCACAAGACTTGAAATCCTCCTAATGATTTTCATCTGACTAGGGGACGGCGTCCTCCTCAGAAGCTCCAGTGAGAAAGAGCTGCTCCCGCACCACCAGAAATTCAGCGCCATCACAATGACATGTAGGGCCCTGTGAAAATGGCACCTCCTACGCTTAGTGGCTGAAAGACCTGAGGGCATCTTTGCGAATACGCCCGGAAAGGGCACTGGCAAAGGGAAAGCTGGCGATTTCGAAGTATCCAAACTTCGCGGCAAGTGCAGAGTACTGAGCAAGAAACAGGCAAAAGGGGAACGAGTGCGAAGCACGGAGGTAGCCAAAAATGAACACCACTTATTGAAAGTCAGGGAGTCCACAGCTGCTCCAGGATTTCGAGGTAGACTGTTGGCAGCGCGGGCACGGCATTGTTCACATGCTTGGCCACCAGCAAGCTTCTTCTGACACAACATGCAAAAACTATTTTTATTTTTATTTAAAAAACCATCATTAATTAAGTTACCCCCACCTAAAGTACCAACTTTGTAATCTTTAGGTTCAGGCCCTGGCAGGTGGCAAGCTACGTCTCTGGGGCAGCTTTGGCCTTGGGTTTCTTTGGGAAGCGTGGCTTGCGCTTGGGTGAAGCTTCGCCTTCCGGTTCGGCTCCTCCTGGTTGGGCACTGGCAGGGGGTGCATTCTTTGGAGTCTTTTTTGAGGTCTCTGCTTTCTTTGTGGAAAGTACCTCCAGGTCCTTTAGATACGACAGGCAAACGGCAGTCCACTGGGGTGGTACCAATGGCGCAAAAGGCCGAGCATGATGGAGAAGGGTCGCATGGCGCTCTTGAAACATCTGCAGCGGCGGCTCCTCCATCAGAGTGAGAAGGAAAGCAAGGGACCAATCCCCTCGATCGATTACCGCCTGCTCGACCCCTACCATCAAGAGGGCAAGAACCTCCTTTGTAAGCCTGAAGTCTCCTGAGGCAGCTGCATCTATTGCGTGACATAAGACCCATGCCACCAAACCAAGCTCGCGGTGGTTCCTGTACCCTCCTTGTCTTTCCAGGTACTGTAACATTGAGAGGTTGCTCATGTTTGCCTCCTCCTGTGGCATTGGTCTTGAAGGATACATTCGCCTGTGCAGCTGCTGCATCATCTGAGCAAAATAGGTGCTGGACCCGGCTGCCAAGTCGTTCTGCATCCGCTCTCTTCTGTGCACGCCTTTTGTGGTACCAGACTGAGAACTTGTGGTTCCAAAGTCCCCCAAAACATCTCCTGACTGAGATGTCAGGTGTGCCACCAACGCCAACACCGCAGAGCTCTGCTGCTGAATGGCAGCTGTAATGCCCTCTTGTCCGTCTTGACCAGGTTGTAACACATCGTAAGGCTCGTCTTGCCCCACATCTTCTGCAGCGGCCAAAGGGTTTGCAAGCTTCACTTTCGGGGGAGGTCCAATCAGGTTCAAAGCCTTTGCGGAGGCTGTCTGCGAGATTCCACTTGGATTGTTCAGAGCAGCTGACACTGACGGGAGCTTGGAAGAAGGGCCAACAAAACGCCCTGGCACAGGCTCTGCAGAGGAACTGCTGGCTTTCTCTAACATATCCTGCCTCTTCACCAAAAGCTGCATCTGTGCTGCCAAAGTGCTGAGTTGCTCGGCTATGGCCGCGTTGGATACTCTCTTCTGAGGTGGCACCTTCTTGGCGGCTGCTGGAACTCCAGCTGCAGTGCTGTGAGGTGCCTTCGAGGGGTTTTTCTCTAGGTCTTCTTGAGCAGAGTAAAAACCTGTCCTATCGTCACTACGGCCTAACAACCACTCATTCACTAAGGAAACAAGCTTGGCATGCTCAGGCAAACTGGTTGGATGATCCGACGAAAAGCCCAAAATGCTCGCAAGATGATCTGTCACAGGGTCATACTCACGGCAATTCATAAGGATATCATCGGTGACATCAACGACCAAAACTTCAGCTTCCAAGCCCAGACTGATAGTGGTCATCAAGTCTTCAGACTCCTCAATAAGGGGGACATTGAAAATCGAATTAGGACCAAATAGAAGCTCTTCGGCTCCTGTTTGGCCAATGGCAATGGTAGAAGGCGATATGGAGTCATGAGGAAGTGCAAGTAACATACCTCCATCTCGGAGCTCAATTGGCATTGCATAAACATCTACATCGTCCCCGACGGAGGACGCCATCCCTGGAACAGTCAAAACCAACAAGGTGGGATCACCCTTGCTAGCTGGCTTCAGCTTTTCCTTTGTCAACATGGCTTGAAAACGCCAGGCACTGTGATACGTGCACCCTGACAAAACACCTCGATCTCCGTCTCCGTGCAGAAGCCGTAATGGAGCAGGCCTTCTTTGAAAGTCTGATCACGAAACCTCTGAAAGTGAGCAGCCGATCCAAAACGAACTGGCCCTCCAAGTCCACAGGCCCGAAGCACAATGAAATGCTCAGGAGGTGATGAGATGATGGGAGGGGAGATCTGTTCAGTGAAAGTTTCAAGTGCTACCCTTCCCCAAAAACCAGCGGAAAATGCCAGACAGACCCTATTGATGCCCTCCCGTTCGTCCCTGCTGCAAAAAGATGCCTGGTCTGCGACGAGTGCCGGAATAGGGCCGGGCCCCGAGTCGACCCCCTGGAAGGGAGGGCCAGTGTATGGCAGACCAGGCTCCTTGTCCAAAGTCCAGAGCTGGGAGATCTGTGAGATGGCTGGGAAACACGGTTTTGCCACAGAAGGCCCTGCGGCCTTTGCACGTGCCTTTGGATCCCCTCGAGAGTAACCTCCAGAAGAGGGCTCAGCTGAGAACTCAACCTGCAACCTCCACGCCTCAAGCTGTTCAAGTTTGGCTATAAGATCTCTGAAGTCTTTGGCCGAAACAGGACAGCTCATTCAAGGTAACGGGACAAACGAGGACGAGGCACCACACCAGGAGCAAAACCAGGATGTCTCGGGATCAAGTCAGCACGGAAAATCCACAGACAGGCCACAACAGCACACAGGATCAGACCCAGAAGGAGTCCAAAACAAGCACCCAACAAGAACCAAGGGGCACACGACGGGCTGCAATGGAAAGGACAGGCAACCAAACGGTTCACCTCGCTTGCCAAGCTAAGCCAGTTCCAGACAGAGTCAACCCAAACTACCATTACCTTTGAGCAGCAAGTTCACAAGCATGGACACAATCGCACTTACACATCATATATATATACCATCTGGTTATTTAACATAGCCATGGAAAATCACCATTTTTAATAGGTAAACCATCTATAAATGGGCCATCTATACCATGGCTATGTTAAATAACCAGAGGGTATATACAGTAACTGGGGTAGCTCCATTTTCAGACACACATAAAAAATGTCATATCAAGGTGGTGAAAAATCTCCACTAGGAATCCCCACATTTGTTGGTCAAATCCCCATTTTGGTTGGTTGAAGTCCCAATTGTTTGTTGCTTAAAATCCCAATCTTTACTGGTGAAATCCCAATTCGTGTTGCTTTGAAAGAAATGCTTTAAAAAATGTTAACATCCATAAATATATATATATGTATAATATATATATATATATCAATAATAATTAATAAAGATTAGTCAAAATCAAATAAAAAAGAAAAAAAAACATCAACAAAAATCAACGGATCTTTTAAACACATGGTTAAAATCCCCACCATCTCCCATCCCCCGCTATCCTGGGCCCTCCAGCTCTTCAACATCCCCGCTGGCACGGCCAGCGCAGTGCCGCCGTGCAGGGAGGTGGTCGACTTGGATTTGGACCTGAACGCCATGGAGGTATCAACCAAAATCCTGGTAAAAGCAGGGAAAAAGTACCTGAAAAAATTGGAAAGTTACGGATTTCACCTGGGAAAAAATCGGAACGTCAGAACTGCAAACGCAATTGGGATGTGACCAGCAGAGGGACTGAACCGCAGCTGAAATGAAGATCGACAAGCGACATGGAACATCATGGAGCAACAAAAAGGATGGAGAAAGAAAAAAGAGACTGAAGAATTGGGACTTAAAATCGAGGACAAGATGGTGATCTTCAGCAGAAGTCAAGAAGTCACCCAAGGCTTCTCGGTGTCGGACGCTGCAAGGCCACCTTGGCGCGTCAGAGCACAACTTTTTTTGGCCGGCGATGGGTCAAGATCCTGGGACCCAAAAATGGATGGTCATATAATGGTGGTATATATCAAGTATGAATCTGGTTGGTGGTTTTAACCATCTTGAAAAATATTAGTCAATGGGAAGGATTATGCCATATATTGTGGAAAATAAAAAAAATGTTTGAAACCACCAACCAGGAATGTATTTTAATTCTGCTATAATACCACGTAGTATATGCAGTATATGCAGTATATTAATCATATATTGAAAATTATCTACGATACTGGAACAGAATCAAAATCCGTGGCTCTGAAAAATTGAAACCCGTGCCGCCAGGACCAGTGGTCTAGGGGGTCAGTTACAGCTGGTTCCAATCACTGTATCTTATCGGGACCACATTTATGAATCAATGAACTACGTTGATGGATGGAGGCTTCTAGGAAAATCTGCGTGACCTGAATCATTTTTTGGAGTTTGTCTGTCTCAGGAGCCGGAAGCCGGAAGAATATCAGCCTTCATGACCCATCGGATTGAAGTGTCTCCCATCAGCTGATACCCAACAACTGAGTTGAAATACTCTTTGGACGGTTCTCATCCCCAAAAAAGATGCCAATCTCTCCACTGCACCCATCAGTAAAATTGTGAAACCCAATTGTTATTCATCAACCAACTATGATCTCTGGTTTCTATCCTCACTCTTGAAGGTTCATAGCCGCATTCACCACGTGATCCCCCCAAAAAAATATCGAACATCATTTAGGGATACCCCCAGCATTTGTAGGTTTGATCACCATTTTTTTGCTGGTTGTAAATCTGACCCCAGCAACTAGATCCATCCAACCATGCACTGGGGACCCTTCTGTGGTGGTGCAGTCCGTGCCCTTTGGCTCCAAGCTGCACCTGAGCAAGATGAAGCAACCAACAAGCTGGAGAAAAATTTAAAAAAATATCTGGAATGTGAAGAGCAGAAATGCTTTGTCGATGATTTGGGGAAGATGTATCTGCTAAGTCCAAGTTGTTGAACTTTACACCTGGAAATCCTCCGCCTCCGCCTTCAGAAGCTCAACACCTGTCATCAAGGCTCCGGACTAAGCGGTCCATGAGGTTGAAATGGTTGTTGGCTTCCGCATGGGCCATAGCCTCAGGTCTCCAGTGGAACGGGGAACTCAGGGGATCCACAGGAGTTCCAGCATGGGATCAAGGCTCCGCGCAGTGTATTCCTTCACATCCTGTAGGAATGTGGGGCCCGGAGGATCAGCCAGAAATTGCGCCCCGGGGGATTCCAGATCGGGATCTGATGGAAGAGACAACAAGTCATTCATCATCCATACTGTAATATCATATCGTAGAATTCAGTGTAATATACTAAGGTCTAATTTTCATCATCATCATCATCATCATCATCAATAACCATTGATAACCATTGATAACCATTGATAAACATTAATAAACATTAATAAACCACTACCATCATCATCAAAACAACTGGTAGGGACAAACTTTTCCATCTCCTCGTGCGGACTCAAAAACCATCCTCCCTCGGGATCCGCGATGATCCACGGAAACCCCCGCCTTGGCATTCATGTCAGCTCCAACCTCCAGGAGAAGCATGGTTGCCTTGGCATTCTGTCAGACACCAGGATCTTCTGAAAAGTCCTGGTGAAAAAATGCTGTGAATGTCTATGAAAGGTGATGTTTATGTGAAATTACTTGGAAGTGGGGATGTACTGGCGTGAGTCTGAGGTTTGATTTCAAGACATTGATTTGAGTATGGAAGCTTGTCGGTCAAGACTTGAGTCAAACCCCCGTACGATTGTGAGCACACCAAAATAGTTCACAAATGGGTCGTCATCCAAAGCTGCTCGAATTGGTCATAGTAGTATTGACCCATAGTATCCAACCCTAGTACCCATAGGTATTGAACATATTGAACTCACCTCCACTGGGTCCGCCACCTGCATGTGTCCACCCGCGGCGGCTAAATGAATGGGCGTCCGCTTCCTCTGGTCGGCAATGTTGACCTCCAGAGACACCCGGGGTCCGTCACTGGGTTCCGTTGAAAAAGGGGCTGAATTCATGTTGTCCCAATGAACAGTTGTCCCAATAATGAACAATTACCCTCGGGTAATTTAACATAGCTATTGAAAATGGCAATTTATAGTGAGTTTTCCCATTAAAAATGGTGATTTTCCATAGCTATGTTAGTTTACCAGAGGGTAATGAACGTTTAATGAACCTCCAATTTTGGAGGGTCTCCAAAACCCTCCAAAAGCCAGTTCTGTTGACTGGGGGGGTTGCACAACTGGGACTCCCAAACATCAGCACCCCACTCCAGCAGGCGGCAGATGCCATCCACGTCGTTGTTTTCCGCTGCAACGTGCAGGGCGGTCCTCGCGGAGATCGCGAGACTTTCGCGGAGATCATGGAGGATGCATGGGGAGGATCCTACCCAGTAATCCGAAAAAATGGAGTCGGGACGGATTTTGCATCTTAACCAACATATACAAATGTCATGATATGACCATAATTCTGACAACAAATTCCGAAGTATATAGAGGATATTCTCACAAGTCTGGGCCATGGCCGTGCTTAACTCGCCTTGAACTAGCTAAGGGACCAACAGTCGAAACAGCTGTCAGGCAGTCTTGCCATTCGCATCCGCTGAGTTGATCTTAACGCCATAGATGTGCAGAAACCTCGTAGTCGTCAATGGACGAGGGAGAAAAATAAGTCAATAAAGAAGTAAACATATATGGTGCATGTATGTATATATACACATACATATATATATATTATCATGTTGAAACCTCAATCTGCTATAAACCTATATAAACCTACCATTTAATGGGATAATGTTCACTTTTCAGCCATTTGTATCCATTTGTGGTATGTCATTGGGGATGGTTTAGGGTTGCGATGCATGAGAAAAAAAACATGTTGCAGGTGGCTACTGTGGTCTCGATGCTGAAAATTGAGGAAAAAATGGGAAGACCACATTCCACTGGTGAATCAACATGTTACCTACTATACTACATAGCCGTAATTGGAGGTGTATATATATATATATACATATATATATATATACAATTTCGAATTTCGGACAAAGCCAAAGGATATGTAGAATGAGAATCATCACTTTTTTAGCAGATCAACTGGATCAGCCTACATGGCCATGGCTTGGGTGCCAATTACGCGCAGTTTCCTGATCCTGTGATAAACCCAATCATAATAATCATAAACCATACCCCATTTGCCCATATTTGCCCAATCATAAACCAGATGTAGAAAGAAAGCACCATACCCATTCCGTGGGAAGTTCATGGCAGGTCCCAATGGGTCCCACATTTCCGTGAGGTTCCAGAGTTCCAGACTCCATGATGTCGTAGCGCCTGTTCCTGGTGACGATATTGAAGGCCTCAGCGGCTTTCTTTTGGGCTCTGGCATCGGCAAAGTATGAGGGAAACTCCCCTGCATCGGTTCATAAGATTTCATAAGTAAGTATTGCTTCAACCATCGATTCTGTTGGTTAAAGTATGTTAAAGTCTAATCCAAATGTTGCCTTTCTTGGTTCATGGTTCACAGTCTTGTTGATTCCCATTCCCAATCTTTATTGTTTCCTACTGTGGATGGTTGCGAAATCCTGCACCACCAAAAGGATGGGTGAAACCCCAACAAAATAATGGGATGTTTATATACCACCTATCAACTGGTGAATTTGTTCCATCCACAGTATCACCATTCCTCCAACTGAACTTCTGGGACTTCCCTGCCGTTTCGCCACGCTTCGAGATGGCCATCATCTTGGCACCACGGCGGTAGCAAAGCTTTGCCAAGCCTCGGGGTCTGGGATGAACCAAGGGAAATGGGATGAACAATGGAGGTGTCTTGGTCAAGGGATGCGGAGATTGTTTCTTTGGGCAGTGGCAATTGATAAGACACTGTTACAGAAAACATGAAACGGATTGATTGATGGCTCGGAAAATTCACCAAAAATGAATTCACCGGTGCGGTTCCTGACATGTTTACAAAATCAACCAATTCGCTCGCCGTTTACTTCGCTATGACCCGAAAATCTAGGGGGCCAATCAATCCACAAAGTTGCGTGGTCCTTAAAAATTTGCCGTCACATCTCAGCCTCTCGCCCAAGTTTCCAGAGGTGCAAGCGAACCTCGGCAGAAGTTAGATAATCTTCAAAGTTATGGAAAATTGGGGTGGATCTCGACTCAATACGTTGTTGGAATCTACATTCTTGTGTGTGTGTCTGGAAATGGGGTATAGCCCCAAATAACCATCTTAATCGGGATATTGATGTGTTTGAAAACAATGGGGAGATACTGCAACCAAAATCTACACATATTAGATAAATATTTTGTTGTAACCAGCAAAAAATGGAGGTATCCAAAAATCGGTTAGAATATCTCAGGCGCACAACAGGATGATAAAATGAATCATGACGGCGTGTCCCAAACATCTACAGTGACGTCGTGGTGAAGTGCGCCACAACATCCAGATCTTTGTTTGTCAGTCCATCTGTAGATGATTTTTATTGATCATATTTAAATATATGTGTTATGTATGTATGTATGTATGTATGTATGTATGTATGTATGTATGTATGTATGTATGTATGTATGTAGGTATGGTATGGTATGGTATTGTATTGTATTGTATTGTATGTATGTATGTATGTATGGTATTGTATTGTATTGTATTGTATGTATGTATGTATTGTATTGTATTGTATTGTATTGTATTGTATTGTGTTGTATTGTATTGTATGTATGTATGCATGCATGTATGCATGTATGTATGTATGTATTGTATGTATTGTATGTATTGTATGTATTGTATGTATTGATGTATGTATGTATGTATGTATGTATGCATGTATGCATGTATGCATGTATGCATGTATGCATGTATGCATGTATGCATGTATGCATGTATGCATGTATGCATGTATGCATGTATGCATGTGCATGTATGCATGTATGCATGTATGTATGTATTATGTATTGTATGTATTGTATGTATTGTATGTATTGTATGTATTGTATGTATTGTATGTATGTATGTATGTATGTATGTATGTATGTATGCATGTATGTATGTATGTATGTGTGTATGTATGTATGTATGTATGTATGGTATTGTATGTATGGTATTGTATGTATGGTATTGTATGTATTGTATTGTATTGTATTGTATTGTAATGTAATGTAATGTAATGTAATGTATGTATGTATGTATTGTATGTATTGTATGTAATGTAATGTAATGTAATGTAAGGTAAGGTAATGTAAGGTAATGTAAGGTAATGTAAGGTATGTATGTATGTATGTAAGTATGTAAGTATGTAAGTATGTAAGTATGTATGTATGTATGTATGTATGGTATGTATGGTATGGTATGGTATGGTATGGTATGGTATGGTATGGTATGGTATGGTATGGTATGGTATGGTATGTATGTATGTAATGTATGTATGTATGTATGTATAGTATGTATGTATAGCATAGTATAGTATAGTATAGTATAGTATAGTATAGTATAGTATGTATGTATGTATGTATGTAATGTAATGTAAGGTAAGGTAAGGTAAGGTAATGTAATGTAAGGTAAGGTAAGGTAAGGTAATTAAGGTAAGGTAATGTAAGGTAAGGTAAGGTAAGGTAATGTAAGGTAAGGTAATGTAAGGTATGTATGTATGTATGTATGTAAGTATGTATGTATGTATGTATGCATGCATGCATGCATGTATGTATGTATGTATGTTTAGGAAAATCTTGGGCCCGCAAACATTGGAAATTCCAAAATAATTATTTTGTCATGTTTTGCTTTTTTTGCATTTTTTTTCATTTTGGTTTGTCATTTCGGATTTGCGTTGTCATTTTTTTGTCATTTTTTTGTCATGTGTTTGTCATTTTTTGTCATTTCTTTGTCATTTGTTTGTCATTTGTTTGTCATTTCTTTGTCATTTGTTTGTCAGTTGTTTGTCATTTTATTGTCATTTTGGGAACGGGAAAATGGAAAAAAAATCCTTAAAAAATGACTACCATGACAGACCTTTTGTTACCTCGTGGCAGCACCAAATACAAGGAACAAGTGCAGAAACTCTTGGAAAGCCAGCCGGGGGTGAAGAAGGATAGGGCAGGGGAGCTTGCCCTGGGGAATTCGTTTTTGGGCCTGCCTGGACGAGGAGTTGTCTCCCGGCTCGGGGTGCAAGGCCGGCTCAAAAACCGGGTGGGGGGGCCGGGGCCGGGGTGAAATGACCCCGGGGGAGGGGCGGCTCAGGCCCGAGAAGCGGGGCCGACCTGGAAACCCCAAAAACGCAACTTTACCAGCACGCCAAAACAAACCCAAATCTGAAGGTGGTTTCCGTTGTCAACCGGGTTTGTCAGAAATATGGTCCCCCTGGATCCGAATCCAATGTTGATCATCATTTCGCCATTCAAACGGCCATGACTTAGGGGTGTACACCATTTTCAGACACACACACATGCATGATTCATTGATTCAATCCCAATTGTGATGGTGTTAAATCCCACACGTTCCACCATTGTCATCACGCCAAAAAAAGGCCACCTCTTAGCAGCGCCTGTAGAAAACTGACCCAGTCCAGTCATGAGTCTATTCCATTCAGCGAGGGGGGTTGTGCTCATGGTTCGAACGTTATTTCGCAACCAAAGGGATTTAATTTTCTGAACTGCACCCATCTATTTGATCTAGGAGGGGATATTGACTATTGGGACTAGGAACGATATATATATATACATATATATATATAACAGACAATGTATTTTATATATATAGCATTATTTTCTAGAGAAAATGTATGGGTTAAAATTCACGAACCCAAACAAACCACAGATTTGGCCAATCTTGACCCATCTCCAAATCCTCAGTGGTCAGACTCCAGCAGCGTCATATCTGACTCCACCTCGCGCCGGATGCAGGCGAGATTCTACTCACATCACAAGGGATCCAAATGGCAGTTGATCAACAATTACTTTACTTCGTGTGATCCCCACCATGACATTTATACATTTTCTTACTGGCAAATCTTCTGGCATTCTATCTGACATATCTTCTGACATTCTATTTGACATTCTATCTGGCATATCTTCTGGCATATCTGGCATATCTGGCATATCTTCTGGCATTCTATCTGGCAAATCTTCTGGCATTCTATCTGGCATATCTTCTGGCACTCTATCTGACATATCTTCTGGCATTCTATCTGGCATATCTTCTGGCATATATTCTGACATATCTTCTGGCATTCTATCTGCATATCTTCTGGCATATATTCTGACATATCTTCTGGCATATCTTCTGGCATATCTTCTGACATATCTATCTGGCATATCTTCTGGCATATTTTCTGGCATTCTATCTGGCAAATCTTCTGGCATTCTATCTGGCATTCTATCTGGCATATCTTCTGGCATATTATCTGGCATTCTATCTGGCATATCTTCTGGCATATCTTCTGGCATATCTTCTGACATTCTTTCTGACATTCTTTCTAACTTTCTTCTGCACATTCTTTGTCCCATATCTTCCTACATGAGGTCCGGCAGGGAACACTTGGCGTGGATACTCGCGGTTGAGGTCCGGCAGGGAACACTGGGCGTGGATGGTCGTGGTTGAGGTCCGGCAGGGAACACTGGGCGAGGATGGTCGTGGTTGAGGTCCGGCAGGGAACATTGGGCGTGGATGGTCGTGGTTGAGGTCCGGCAGGGAACACTGGGCGTGGATGGTCGTGGTTGAGGTCCGGCAGAGAACACTGTGGATCGCGGGTCGCAGTTGAGCAAGGACGACGAGGACGACGAGGACGACGAGGACGACGAGGAGGACGAGGAGGAGGAGGAGAGGAGGCGGAGGAGGAGGAGAAGGAGGAGGAGAAGGAGGAGAAGGAGGAGGAGGAGGCAACTGACATAAAATCTAACAACCCTCACCTGGCAGGTGGGGAAGAAGAGAGTTTTAACACTCTGTTTATAGCCAAAAATTGACCAAAAAGATCGGATATGTAATTGTCAAAGGATGGCAATGGAGACAACAAATAGAAATTTGATGAAAACATCATCTGCAAATGCATGTAGCTGTTGGATTCTCCATTGCCAAGTAAGACTACTGGATGGTAGGTGAAATGGTCTGCATCCGCACAAGAATGAGAGCCTTTTGGGACTTTTTGGGTTCTCAAAGCCTTTGGAAGGTTGGGAGTTTTCCTCGAATCGACGGAGCTATATGAGTGCATCACAAGACTAGTGCATTGAGCACCGAAAGTCAAAGCTATTGTCCTCCCGGACGAAAAAACGTTCTCAATTTGTCTAGGAAGAATCAAACCTACATCTACCCTCTGAAATTGGTATGTCTCTTGAAATTGGTACAATAAGTATTATATATATATATATGTATTATATTATATATATATATATATGTATATTATATATATACTTACCTCTCTTGACCATCACTTTCTCCCTTGATTTCCCTTCAACATGACCTGAAGAACAGCACCAAAAAGCTGGGTTCTCCCGGCATCCACCGCATCGATGTGGGTGGTCTCCAGCAAGCGCTCCAACATGTTCATCAAGACCGTGCCCGTCCTCGTGGGGACGAGGGTCCGTCCCTTTGGTGAACCAACAAACGTTTGGAGAAAAGTAGCCAGCCTGGTTATGACTAACATAGCTATTGAAAATGGCCATAGAATTTTTGTGGATTTTCCCATTGAAAATGGTGATTTGCCATAGTTATGTTAGTTTACCAGAGGGTAAATCACTGTTGTTATTTCCGTAGGGCCTAGTGAATGAGTTGATTTCATGCCCCAATTTTGGGACACGCCCGTTCTTGTTGGTGGTATCCTAATTTGGCCTTAACCATCCCCACGATTCTTGGTTACACCCTTTGAAAAAAGTCCTCGCTAATGCGTGGGTATATGCCCCCATCTTCTTGTCTCTTCGGCTGCCTTGTGACAATCTGCTTCAGGTTGAAAGTCTTGGCTTTCTCCTGACAGGGCAGAGATGCACGAAATGTCTTTGCAATGGTCCATCAACAAATTCAATGGGCTCATGGTGGGTGGTAGACAAGCACTCTACAGCTACATATCTCTACATAATAATCAAAACCAGCTGTGTATATTTAACAACTACCTGCAAGCCTGAACCAACATAATAACCACCCTTGTCTCAAGCCTGCCACGGGTTGCCCACAGTAATCCAATGGAAAGTACCCTGTTCATACAAGAGCTTCCCAAGTAGCTTTTGTCTGAGAGTAGGATGCCCCTCACTGATTAATCATCATTTTTCATCGCAAAATAACAATTTTGGGGGTATATGGAGGTTTCCTAAAATGATGGTCCCCCCAAATCATCCAAGTCATTAGACCATTGAAACATATTGAAAGCTAGAGTTTTGGGGATCCCCCATGACTTAAGAAACCCCCATGACTTGAAAAACCCTCATTTTCAGACACACTTTCAGGCGCCAAAAAATGCTGAAACCCCCGGCCTTGACTGGCTCGAAGGCCGTTTTCAAGTCAGCGAAGGGATCGGACTTCTGCTGGCGGTTTGATGGGGTTTGTTCTGCCATTTTTCATGGGAGGGTCAAGGGATAAATATGATATAACTGATATCATTTACAAGTATGTAATAGTATGTAATATTAAAAATATGATGTCTAATCTTATCATCATCATGCTTGTGGGGGATTTCTCAACTTCTTTGAAATTCCGAAACCTGTACTTCTCATGGCATGGGATGATCGGGTGCAGACCCTCAAGAATCAGGATGTCCAACACCCAAAGAATGGAGAGATACCATAAGAAACGACTTACCCATCTTACCCCAAGTTCAATGGGACACCCTCTGTTAAGTTCACTTGCACAACATCACTGTTCTAATGGGTAAATCATTGAACTACATGGCCATCTATACGACAGCAAACTGTTAAATTACCAGATGGTAATTCCCAGTGATATATCCCACATGTTTGTGGCTTCAATCCCATCAAACTATATCAAAATCACCATAAAATCATCCCAAACCTCACTAAAAATAAGCCGATCTCCCACGAGTCTGCACCTGTTCAGGCTCTGACTTCTGGGCTTGGGAACCAGCCCGCCTCAGGAGGAATAATTCAAAATATGGTGGATATCTTAAAGCCACAGTTCTTGGTCACATGGTTCCAATCAACCGCCAGGGCACGTCATTTTGGCCTTTGTCTTTGAGGCCACCTGGTGCGCCAGGTCCGAGCAGGTCTGGTAGTGTCACAAGTCCCACAGATGCTGACAGTAGGCTCTTATCGGCAGAGTTTGATATCATAGATCCCATTTCTCCCCTGTTTCTGGTGCTATGGAAATAGCACCAACTTGACATCCTCACCTGTGATACCACTCTTGGGCTTCGGTGTTGAAGTTCCTCCAAATTGCACCATGTTTTTGTAGGGAAATTTGTTGATCAAGAGGGCTGGGTGCTAATTTCTCCACCAGTCCCGACCGCAGCTGACCTTTGTTTCCGCCTCTTTGGGCTGTTCCTCCTTCGTTCCGGACAGGCGCCGGCCTCGGGCAGTGACGGGGCAGTGACTGATGGGAAGTGTAAAACGGGCTGTCCCTCCTAGCAACGAAGTTTTTCTTCAAATGATGTGAATCCAATGCTCACCGCGGAAGCTCACAGGGCCAACCATCTGAGCCTTGTTTGAACTCTTTGCTCTTATCCTTTCAGTGAAGAGGCAATATAACCCATGAGGGTGAAGAACCCGCCACCAAGTGCATATGGAAGGGAACTTCCTGCTCAAATTTGACTTTCAAGGCCCACTGAAGGATGCAAATGGCTATATACAGTACATATTATACATCATGTTGGCCAACAGCATGAACCATCCATCAATCGGTAACAATCATCAATCATTTTGCGAATCTTCAGTCGGGCCAGTTGTCGCCCCTTCACAGCCATTCCCCATTCCCACCTTGTTCAGGGCTCGCTGAAGCTACCTGACAAAGCTGGAAGATCCATCATTTTTACCGGCTTTCCTGGAGAAACTGCAGTGGAAACCACCAGAAAAGACGAGTTTCAGCCATCACTGCAGATCCCACCACTGGACTTCGAACTTGGCTTGCCACCAGGGCCCCTATGTCAATTTAGTTCAGGCTGCAACTCCCTGCAACATCATGTCCTTTCGCGCCATGGGGCAGTCGATTTGGTACCATTATTGGTTGTTAAAGGTAAAAGCGGGTAACTAGGGAAAGGTCCGCAGCTTTTCTCCTCAAGCTCTCGGGCTGGGGCAACTGAATGTCTTTGTCCAGTGCCACATACTACAGGACTTACACCTAACAGCTGGAAGTCCGATATAAACAGCATCTGTAGTCGTCCCAAATCGCTACGGCTACGGCTATGGGCTACAGGTCAAAAAAAAAACAAGAATTGCATGGTGGATAACGAAATCACGCCAAAAAATCACCGCTCAAACTGTGTTTTCGGGGCGTCTTCAATGGTGACCCACGGGAACTACCGTTGTGTCTTCATCCCAGGCCTCCGTTCATCGGGGCATCGCAGTGGACTGTTGCCGCAGCTTCAGTTCCAGGTCTGGATCATAGCCCTCGTCATAGAGCCGCTTGACCGGCGCCAGGGCACGCTTAAAATTGCGGTCCTGCAAACAGATTGGCAGCTTGCCAAAGGTTACCCTCCCAAAAAAATGATTTTCTAAGGGCAAATCTTACCCACCACCATCTAGGGCTTATGGGTGGGGTTGAATCCCCATCTTGCTGGATTTCATCCCCACGAGTTGGTCGACAAGGCTTCCTGATGGATTGTCATATTCCCCACTAAGCCGCGTATAAACATGTACAAACTAGATAATTCTTCTATAACCATCAACCAATCATCATTCCTGAGGTACATTACATTCCAGCTTGTGTTGGATTTATCAGGCCGTTTAAGTTCACTCCAACCCCCATTTTTCACCATCAAGCAATCAAGTTGGCATTGTTAAGATATCCATGTTTTTCCTCTACACATACTGGTACAGATTTAGAAAAAATGATAATGAAAATCAACGTAAGTTCTTGGAGAAAAGAAATGCCGTTCAAACCTCTATGTGGCCCCCCTTGAACCAAATACAGTAAGCCGTTTTGAAGATAGAAAACATGGCATTAACCAAGACCCACAAAGCGCTAGCATGCCCTGTTTCCACCCACCATCAACCCATCATCCAACTCCGCACCGACTACCACATTCCATCCACATCATCATGTTCCTTCATTACCCGGTGAAAATGGCTATGGCGATCCTGTATTTTCAGATAAACCCACATCAACACCCCGAACTTTTCAGACAAACCCAAGTATCATGTGACTTCTTGGCTTTTAGGTTGTTTAAGTGTCAATTGTTTCTTGGTTATAAGTTATATCTGATTATAATAGATTATAGCATATCATATCATATCATATCATATTATATTATATTATATTATATTATATATATTATATTAAAACTCCCCTTTTTTACCTCCCAAGAAATCTCCCCACGTCCCCAGCATCTCCTTCCCCAGCGTCGTCAAAATCTCCCGCGCCAACGGGGCCGCCGGCGCCGTTGGGCTCGTCTCCAGCCGCAGTAGCAGCTGAAGCATCTCGGGCGCCCGCAGGTGACGCCCCAGCAGCTCTGGGTGGTCGCTGGTAACCAGGAAATGGAAGACGTGCATAATGTCCTGGGAAAAAGGTGGGAAAATGGGAAACAAAGATTGACCACATGATGGGAAAAGGATGGGAAAAGGATGGGGAAAATCTGGAAATGATGGAAAAGATTGGAAAATTAGGAAAAAGATTGGGAAAATCATTGGAAGCTTATGGGAAAATGATAGGAAGATGAGCAATTATGGGTACAGTATATGATTGGTTAGAATGGGGGGGATCACGCAATCTAAGCAACTGCACACATGTCAATGGTGGGACAAAAGCCGTGGGAATGTCACTTGTCTTTTAGAGCTGAAGGGGCACAAACACACAGGGATTGAGCGAAATTGAAGCAACAACACTGATGTCCTGCGGAAAAAACAAAGGAAACTCAAAGGAAATGGGGGGAAGCCTATCCTACAAAATTGGAATTGAAACAAATGTAACCACAATTACAGGATGTGCCGATGGAAGGGCAGAATGGAAGAAAACATTGGGGAATTAGCTCAATTCAACCAAAACCAGTGAGCTCGGAGAAAAAGGTTCCGAAAGCTCCACAACAGTGCGACAGTGTGGTGGATTACATTTCATTCTTGCCATACTTTCATCCCTATCTTGTTCCACAAGAAGTGTTTCCCCACAGTTTTTCCATATCCAGTGAGACAAGACCCACCAGGACATCAATATTGCTAATTGTTGGGTACATTTGCTTAAATCAGCATGTTTGAACTCTTTTGTTTTTCCAGGGCATCATTGTTACTGCTTCAATTTCGTGAAATATCAAGGCTGTGCTGCTAACTCCCGGTGTGTAGTATGGAATCTCCCAAGATCAAAGTCAGGTCAAACAAATGGGGCTCCAACTTCTTCGGGTACCAACGGACCCACAAACTTGGGCAGTTTTCGTAGCCATTTTGGGGTCGATTTTGAGCCATCCCGAATCACCACGTGAGCGGAAAAAAAAAACGCAGCCGGATGCGCCTGGAACGCCTCCGCGCTCTTGACACCATCATCCCACCTGATGTTTGCGGGATGACAAGGGCCAAAATCATAGGTGCACACCCAAGACTCCATCCTCTGGTTTTACTAAGCTTATCATCATCCCTAAAAAATATATATCCCTCATTTCCAGACACAACTGGGAACGTCAAACAGTAACATCAGACAGCTGGGGATCTATGGAACCAAGGAACAGCTGAATCCCCAGCTTCACCAGTTGCTGTACGCAGCGCTCGGGCTGCTGCTCAATGGCTTTGGTAAACTCCTCGGGTCGTTTGATTCGACCCAAAGGATGGCGTGTACGCGGTGCTCGGAAAATGAGGGCTCGCTACCGAAGATGGATTGGGAAATGCAAGGAGAGAAATGGGCAAAAAGTTGATAGCCACTTTTGATACTCTTGATATGGTTTAGATTGCAGTTGCAGAAAGCGATGGTTAAAGCTGGACAAGAATGATTTCGGACATCGAATGCAAATACGTTCTGGAAACATTGCTTCTCAACACCTCTGAAGCACCCCACCTTGTTTTTTTACATCTCTATCCCCCAAGTCATACCTCGCACCTTGGCAGCCGTGCACTGCATCAGCACCCGTGCCGCATACCGCCGCGCCAGCGGCAGCTCCAAGGTTTCAGCCAGGTGCGACCCTTCAAGGCCACGTCCCAGCAGGGCTTGGACCACACCCAAACCTGGTGACCCAGGCATTGAAGAACTCGACATGCTGATGTTATAGATATCTTGGGAGATCGGCCATTTCCCTCAACATTATGCCACTTTCTTCCAAAATAATTTTAACAAACAAAACACTGCAATGTAAGACCCAAGAAAAAAACTCAAAAAAACAAAGCTAAAAGACCAAAATTCTACAAATTATTCTCCCGAGAAACTGATGAGTTGCTCCACATTTTCCACATACGTCTGCGCCATGGCCGCCAGGCATCGCAGGGCCTTCTCCGCCAGCTGCGGCGGCGCGTCCAGGAGCCCCCGTGCCGTGGCCAGGCCCTCGCCGGCGCTGAAGGCGGCCGCGTAGCCGCCGCGCTGCAGCTCCCGGTCCTTCAGCAACTTCTGCTCCAAGGTGATGGACACCAGTTCCAACAAAATTTCGCCTTGGACATACCCTCTGGTAATTTAACATAGCTATTGAAAATGGCCAGTTATAGTGGATTTTCCCATTAAAATGGTGATTTTCCATAGTTATGTTAGTTTACCAGAGGGTACATTATAGATCATCATAATGATGGGATAATCATGGGATAATCTTGGGATAACCATGGGATAATCTTGGGAGAATGATGGGATGGTGGAATGATCTTGGGAGAATGATGGGATAGTCATGGGATGATGGGATGGAATGAATAATGGATTTACTGGAATGTAATTAATGGAATTTACCTTCTGGTAATGACGAACACTTTGCTATTGAACATCATGAATTTTGTAATAGCTAAATCATCGAACTGAATGGTCCATTTCCCAAAGCTATATATTATTATATAGAGTATGTAAATTTATATTATTATGTATTATATGTTATATATCAAATATTAAAATTATACATTACATATTATATATTATACATTTTGTACTCAATATTAAATATTATATAGTATATTGAATATTAAATATGATATATTATAGAGTATATATTATATGTATTATATATTTAATATATTTATTGCATATTACATATATATATTTAAATATATATATATATATTATACATACTAGATTGAATATTAAATGAAATATATATATACATATTATATATTATATTGTATATATAGCTATATCTATTATATTTTTTAAATATACATTCTAAATTATATATATATATTATGACGTAAAAATTTATATAATCATATCTATTATTTAAATTATATTTAATACAGCTTAAATTATATTTAATACAGTTTAAATATTATATATATATATTATATTCTCAAAAATATTGTGTACATTACTTTTATTATATCGTATATAACTTATATATGTTGTATATATTATACATATTATATAATATATACTATATATTATATTTCTTTTCATTTAAATCAAATGAATAATATATATGTATGCACATCAAATATATCAAATGTACACTATTCAAATTATATATTGCATATCATTGTTTAATCTATTTTCTATTTAAAAATATATCTAATAAATACTGATTTTTTTAAGTATTCATTATATTAGAATCGCAAAAATTTCCTTAAGAGTAAATAACTAAATTCATTCCATGCTACCCCATGAATGCATTCCATTGAGTAACAAGCCAGACCCAGCATTCAAAAGGCAAGCAAGCAACCTTACTTTTCTCAGTGAACCTCTAAAGGGAAACCCAACAAACTTATACTCCACCCACTGACCAAATTCAAATTAAGAGAAATTCACCCAAAGCAACGCAGAGACATCCTCTTGTTTCCCAGCACAAAAACTTCCAAATATCTTTGCTTCAACAAAGAGAAAACCTTTTTTTGCAGAAGCAAAACCAAAAAGCCAGCAAGTTCCACCAGCGATCAACATGAAGAAAAAATAAGCTTCAGTGGTATCACCAACAGCCGCAACTTTTTATTTTAACAAATCTTACAATAGCGTGCTTGAACCTGACCTGGCTCAACGCCAAAGGCTCCTAGACCTTCTCCGGAACCTTCTCCGGAACCTTCTCCGGAACCCTGTTGAACCTGACCTGGCTCTGCATCTAAAGCCTCCCTGAACCTTCTCCGGAACCTTCTCTGGAACCCTGTTGAACCTGACCAGGCTCTGCATCTAAAGCCTCCCTGAACCTTCTCCGGAACCTTCTCCGGAACCCTGTTGAACCTGACCCGGCTCTTCACCAAAGCCTCCCAGACCTCTTCTCCGGAACCTTCTCCGGAACCCTGTTAAAGCCGACCCGGCCCGGCACCAAAGCCCCCCAGAGCTTGACCGGAACCTTCTCCGGAACCCTGTTGAATGAACCTGACCTGGCTCTGCACCAAAGCCTCCCGAACCTTCGGAACCTTCTCCGGAACCTCGTTGAACCTGACCCGGCGCCTGCACCAGTGCACACCGAAGCTATTCTGGGCTGAAGACCCCATTAGCTTACGCTGTTGGGGAAAAACAAGCAAAGCCAACAAAAGATAACATCCACTAGAGGCCCCCTCCAAAAAAAGCCAAGAACACAAACAGAAAAGGAGAACAAATTCTCAAAGAACGGAGCAGTACAAGAGCAGGGGTGGCAAGAGGAACGATATTATCAAGTATGACGTGGGAGCATTGGTGGGGTGAAGCAGACTAAGGAAAATCAACCCAAGGGAGAAGATCTCACACTTATATATAATATATCATATATTATATATTATATACTGTATATTATATATTATATATAATTCATATAATATAAAATATTTTATATAATATAATATATTTTATAATATAATATAATATAGTATAATATAATATAATGTAATGTAATATAATACTATATAATACTATATAATATAATATAATATAATATACAATATAACATATATATATATATTATATGTATGATATAATACATTATATAATATTATATATATATATTGTATATGATATATCATTTATCTTATATGATATACAGTATGTTATATTATAATATATGATATGATATGTGATATATTATATATTATATGTTATATATTCTATGTTATATGTGATATATTATATATGATATATTGTATATTAGATTACATATATTATTATGTGTATATTTTATGCAATATATGATATGTGTATATATAATATAATAATATATATATATTATATGAACACTTGGGTCAGTTCCACATCCAAGGCACAATATCGCCCGCTTTTCCAGTCTGCCAAATCCAGAAGAGGCCCCTCCTTTCCACCATTCGCTTCTTTCATCATCTGCTGAATGGCCAGCACCATGTGCGTCACCTCCTGCACAAGGCGATTCTTGTGGTCTTTCCATGGCAAAAACATGTGAGACCCCCCAAATTGACCTCCAAAGGCTGCCTTCCCAGCAGTTCCAACTGAACAAAATGAACAAACCTCACTTCCCAACCCATCCGAGCCATCCTGCGGGTCATCCACCAGCTGTGGATCGTCCACTGCATTCTTGGCCACCAGTTCTCCCAGCGTCCGCACGGCCGCCTGCGAGCTCTGGAAGAAGCCGCCAAGGCCGTTCCGCCCGGCCAGCTGGGAAATGATGCCGCGCAGGGCACGGCGCTTGATGCGGCCACCTGGAAAGTTCGGGGGCCATGGATCCAACATCAAAGGCCAGCATCAAATGTACATATCCTATATGATACATAAAATGTGTATGTATATGATATATATATATATATTATATATATATCATTATTATTATTATTATATATTACTGTACATTTTAGGTCATCTGCCCCTGTTCAACAACTTGCTCGCCTTGGGCCAGTAGGTCCAACAGGAGCAGCGCAGCCTGTTCCTTGCACGCCAGGGACACCGCCGGAGAATCGGGGCCAAACACAGCATCGTCATCCGGCGAGGATTGCACCGCTTGAGACAGGTAGAAGGCAGCCCGTTCCACCATGACGCTGTTGGACTGGACCAATTCCAAGGTCTGATGCCGACCTCAGAAACGACGAAAAGGTGGGCCAGTGAGGTGCAGCAATGTTGAATTGAGGGAAAATGCCAAATGGACAGAAAGGGAGGACCGATGTCCAATCCCCACACCTTTTTTGGGCAAGTTGGGCTATTTGGTGGGCTCATTTTCAGGCACATTCAGTTGGAACTCCCCATAAATGGTTGGCTTTATCTGAGTCTTGCTGGTCAAATCTCACGTTTTAGACAAACACACAATACAAGGTACCCCAAAATTTGGTGGATCAGTTGATCACAATTTTCCCCTATTTACATAGCCATAACATGGGGATCCCCCCCTTTTAGTGCCAGCTGCAATGGTTCCAGAGGCCAAAGATCAAGGCCACCAGCCTCTCACAGACCGCGCCACGCACCTTGCAGTTGCAGCCGCCTAAAGCCGCCCAAAGCGACAAAGCTTCAGAGGACACAAACCTGGCGGAGACGGAGACGAAACAAATGGAGATCCGTCTTTCTATGGGTGTGGATATATAGCTTCTGGATTTCAATGGAACCATGATGATATGTATTTAACGGATTGGCACGGGGCTTCCTGCAGATTTTCCCATCATCCAAGTCTGGGGATATGGGTATGGATATACAAATATACGATGTACGTGATATGGATATTGACGCAATACGCCATTGCACATACACAAAAAATGGGATTCGGGCAACAAAAAAACAATGTATTTACATAAACATACGTGCATTTTGGAATGATTGATGCTGGCTTTTGAAAACAACTACCCTCCCGAAAATTAACATAGACCCTGCCAAACAGGGGTTTGGAAGGTTAGTTTCCACTCAAAACTGACTGTTTTCAGCATCCATATGAATTTGGGGAGGGTATTGTAGCTACAGATCCTCTCCGAAACAAGGGGGTTCCACCAGATCCCCTTGGGCATCTCTCCTTGACCCACGTGCCTGAGATTGGCCTCATTGCCTTGACAGATCAAAGCTGTCACGTTCACCACTTCCAAGGCACCTGCGACATTTTGGGTCAGGAGATCATGGAGATTTTCCCACATTTCCTGCAATATTTCACCACTAAATAACTGATTCTGAAGAAATTCTTGGAGTCACTGCACTAGCTTGAGCTGACATGGGATGTCGGCAAAGCCAAAATTCACCTGCCTTGGAGCTTGTAGAGGTCCACGAACTTTCCCTCCATGTTCATCTTCCACTGAGCCTCCATTCCACCATGAAGGTTTACTTCTGGCGCTGCATATCTTCTACACACGAACTGAGGGAGTCATGATTCACTTCAGCTCTTCATCCAGTTTTTGCTCTTCCATCATCCACTCCCATCTTAAATCTTCCAATCCTACAGAAACCTCAAATTCCCATCTGTTTAAATCCGCAACTCAAAAATCCCAAGAACGTTCGAGCCGCGCTCCCTTCGCCTCCAAGATGTTCAGCAATGATCTGAGAATTCCATTGGTTTGCAGCAGAGCCTGCAATGATTCCAGCACATCCTCCTCCACTTCCTGGGCTTTCAGCAGGATGTATTCCAACTTGCTGAGCTGCGCCATGAAGCCACTGGACATCTTGGGGCTACCTGAGGACTGCCCAGCAGGGTTTCATGCCCTTACCATGGCTGGGAGTTCGAACCACACAATTCTCGCAGTTGTAGATACCCTCTGGTAAACTAACGTAACTATGGAAAATCACCATTTTTAATGGGTAAATCCACTATAAATGGCCATGTTCAATAGCTATGTTAGCTTACCAGAGGGTATATCAACTGTAATTTGCGAGATTTCCAAAATCGGTCCGGGCTTGAGAGAAGACAACAACTATGGCCCTACCAGGGGAAGAAATACCTGAAAGATGCCATTGACAGCATGCTTTTGATGCATGGGAAGTCTTTTTGAGGAAGTTTGGGGGGAGAGCCTCATTGGATTTGCATGGGATTTTCTCTAAAGGCTCTCAAAGTTGGAGAGTGGAAAACATGAATGTCCTGGTGTTAGTGGAACAAGTTCATTTGCATGATGTAACCGTTGTAAGCCAACTATCCCAGGCACCTGCAGCTTTTTTTTCCCCCACCCGGCCTAGGCCAGTACCATGCCGACCCTTCATGTTGCAAATCTCATGCTGCAGCGATTCGGAGATGAATGCAATGTATTCCATCAGCTTTCGCCCATGCTGGCTGTCCATCCCAAGGTCTTCCATTCCACTGCGAGACTGTGAGGGTGTGCCACGTCCAAGAGAACCTCAACATGAGAAAAAAACGCGTGGTACATATCAACATTGGGCAACCCAACAATGGGATCCCTTACCACAAAAGGACCAAAGTCTGTGGTTCCCAAGGCCATTTTGAATCCCCAAATGGCCCACAGGTTGAAGAGTTGGATTCGCCTACGAGTGGAGAGTATCTCCCCGCCCCAACTTCGGGATGACCTTGAGTGGTTCCCAATTCTTCCCCAAAATCCGACAGTTCTCCGCCATCTCTTGCTGCTTCCGTCCCCATTGCGGTGTCCCCAAAAAAAGCGAGCAGCCAACCAAATGGACTTCCAGCTTTCAACATGTCCAGTTTCGTTCCTCCAATCCCCCAAACCCAGAAAAACACACACCACAGGCCCAACCCCCACCACCTCAACCCCCACCCCGTCCAGGGCACGTAGCGCCAACCTGGTGGCTTCGTGCAGGCGTTGCATCTCGCTGCACTCGGGGAAGTTGCGCCGCTCGTGGTGCAGCAGACGCATGGCCTCGGACATGCGCTGCATGGCCTGTAGGGCGCGCGCCAGACGCAGCACCGTCTTCCTGTGGAACGGGGGATGGTGGGATGGGGACTTGGGATGAGATAGGGAAAATGGGATCAAGATGAAGTCCAATGGAGGGAAAAAAAGGAGAGAAATGGGAAATTGGAAGGGCATAGGGAAATGGAATGACTGCTTTTTCGATGGAAGTTTGATAGAAGTAGCCTCCATTACCAATTACTTTGTGAGGCTTAGGAAGAAAATATACCACTTTGAGACCCCCCCAGTTTCGGCCATATGTGCAGTCCTGCGGAGAGCCTGCGTTTCTTCATTCAAACCCGACAGCGCTGCCAGCGATTTCAGATACTTCAAGGCCTCGTCACCGTCATCCGCAGCACCGCGGAAGTCTTGCAGTTTCATGCGCACCTCTGACCGATTTGAGTACAGCAGCGCATAAGCTTCGGAATATTCCTGTGATCAGGGGCAGCCGTCACAGGGGTCCGTTCAGATCCCACTGTTGGGATGTAAAACCTTAGACTGAAACTTTGGAACAATCAAAACCGGAAACATATGGGATTTTTGTTTGATTTTGCATCATTTTGCACCCTTCTCCTCATCCATACCACACTTCAGGGCTTGGCTATACCAGGATTCCGCATCCTTCCACTGCCTTTGGTGGAAGGCTCGGTTGCCCCTCTCCTTGAAGGTCCGCGCCGCCGACACCTGGGTGTAGTACCGAATCACCGGCACGGGCTCCGGAGCTGTGTAGGCTTGCCATCCCAGGGTGGGGGCCGACAAATCATCGCTCCTGGGGCCACTTTCTGGTCACTCCGGGGTTCGTTTTGATTCATTAGAATAGGTAAATCACCTGTAATTATAATATGGTTAATATTATATATATATATATGTACATATAAATTCTGATCCATCATTCATTAGATTCATGAGTGTGTAAACGTCACCTGCTCACCCAGATATTTCCCTACCAAGTCCCACGACACCTACCATTTGCATTTGTCCGAAAACAGGATACCCCAAAATCTACTGGTTCATCATCATTTCCACTACTAACCTTGCCATACCTTGGGGGGGTCCAAACCCCATATTCTCCGACACAAAAAATGCCGGCAGCATTGCCATGTCCTGACGCCGTAGAGCGGCCGCCGATCCGCCAAACTTCCAATGACCCAGCTGAAAGTCTCTTCTTCACCGCGTCCTTGATGAGCTTCACGGCTCAAGACCAAGCCATGTTGGTTCCTACCGCCAGTCCAGTTTGCAGACTCGAAATCAACAGAGATGTGGGTATATTACATATATATATATATATGTGTATTAATATATATATATATGTGATATATATGATGTATATAATGTATATAATATATACTATTTATAATATATGTATATGATATTGTATTATATTATAGTATATTATATTATTATATTATAGTATATTATATTATATTATATTATGTTATATTATATTATATTATATTATATTATAATATATATATATATTATGTAAATGCATTATACAGGGAAAATAATGAACATTTGCCAGATTTGAGGGCCCAATTCGTCAGAAACATGCAATTATACACAAAAAGAACACAAGTGTTCATGTACCACAGCCCAAAAAAATCGCTCTCCAAACTTGCAGGACTCAAACTTGCAAGACTATGTGGGTTTGTTTGAAAGTAGGGTACCCCATGAAATTTGATGGTTTATCAAAGTAATCACCGTATTTCCCATTCCAAACTTGTTATTTGGTGATTTTCGTGGATATGCCCCATTGCTATTTGACATAGCCATATGCCTCTGGGCCATGAAAAATACCCCTATCCCATATCATTATACTAGTTACTAGTTGGTTCATGGGTTTCCCCCTACCATGGAAAAAAAAACGTAATCCCCAATCAATATCAATCAATTAGCTAGTATAACCATCAACAGATTATTAACCCATTATTGACCCATTATTAATTGATTATTAACCATTATAACCCATAATTAACCATGATTAAGCCATCAACAGAGGTACCGAATGGTGAACCCCACAACGGCTCCTGTAGATGGGAACTCCATCACCACGTTCTTCTGGGAAGTACTCGCCAATCGCCTCTGGATCTCCGGCCTCCTTGACCCAGTAGTGGTGCATCACCGTATCCGCGGGTCTTCCTTGGGTCCACCAAGGCAGCTGGTGATGGAGATTTTCCTCCAAAAACTCATATGAAAGTCCTGCAGATTTCTGGTGAGAAAGTCGTTTTTGATATCTTTTTGGCACCAAAAACAGTAAATCTAATAAAAACACAAACAGATGAGTTTAATCCAAGGGTGTCTAAGTATCCATGCCACAAAAAGAATTTCCCTGGTTGGTTAGCTAGCATGCCAGTTAAAGTCCTCTGTTTCACATGTTCTATGTTTCCAAATCTCAAGTGTTTGTCCCGTAAAACGCAAAATATATGGCTTTGCAACCCCGAAATGACAATCTATTCCATCTCTTTCCCATTTTTAGACCCAGAATTTATGAGATCTCCAAGGGTCGCGACTCATAGGCTTCCACCGCCATCTTAATCTTCAGTTCATGCAGGCGATCGCTTCCCGCACCTTGCCCTGACTCGCGCGCGTAGAGGGCGTCCATGGTGACCACGGGCTCGCGGGCCAACTCGCCTCGAACCCAAAACCCGAGGTTTTTTCATTTGCAAAAAAAAAGGCCATGATTTGGGTATGGGTCAATACCTATAGATACATTTTTAGTGGGATGAACATCCATAAATCCCAGCTATTTTGATGTTCACCAAAGGTACCAGGGTTTTGACACACTGCCATTTGGGAGTTCCGGAAAGTCAGGTTGGAAAACTTCCAGGATTCGGTTTTTTTGGGCTTCTCAGAAGATTTGACGATAGTTCAAGGGTAAACACATGTTGTGGTGATTTTTTTTTCTTGGAAATGAATCTAGTGATGGGGTGGGATGGGTCGGGATTGGCACAAATGGTCAAAGAGTTTTGTTGAGAAAAATAGGACCGGTGCCCCTATGTCACCCATGTCCATCGGACAATGCCGGTAGAATCCAACATGAGCATGTTTGTATGTTTGCATAATATGGGTTAGTCTGAAAATATGGAATCCCAAAACCAGCTTTATTTATCGTCATTTTCCCCATGAAAAACAATTATTTGCCTTCCACTGCACTGGTTTTCGCAGCAAAATAACTGGGCGTAGCTTTTTCCGCTCATCCCCCCAGAATTTTATGGAAAATGCGAAGGATTCGTTCCCCGTTTGGGACTATATACCCGTTATATTATATCCCGGTTATTGTTAGTTTAATCCACTATTTGCAACCCCTGTTCCAACCCTCAACTCATTGTATTTGCAAGTTAGGTAACTATTTAGTGCTGGTTAAATCAAATTAAATCTTGAAATATGTCCCCCATGTCCAAGGCTGAAATTTCAGTTGACCTTCATACCGTTGGATCTCATCCTCCTCTTCCAAAGCCTCTCGTTCCTCAGATTTGTGTCAAGCAGGCCCTCCGCCTTGATGGGTTTGTATCTCTGGGGATGTAGTGCGGTCTAATCTACCCGCTTGTATACATATATGGTAAAACAATTTTGTGCATGTGGGCCACTTTTGCCCGCGCTGCCCCCACAGACCCCCTTTACTCGCTTTGGTCGCAGATAAACTTCAGCCTAGCCTCCGGCTGGCTTTCGGAATAGTCAGTGGGTTTATAAACCAACTTATAACTGGGGTGCCTTACCTTATGTGTATGTATATTTCATTTATTTAGGCATGTAATCATTATTTATTTATCTACTTCTTTGTTTGTATATGTATTTTTTTATTTATATATATATATATTATCACCAACATCCTGATATGTTTGGCTGTGTCTGAAAATGAGATTTGCACACACCCCAGGTTGTGGCAGTTTTGATACAGAAAATGATGCTAAGCCAGTAAATTGTGGAGGGAAGTATCGTATTTCCAAACAGAGCCATGTATTCGCAAGGTCACTGGTTTCCCTGAATCATCAATTGGGCTATCTTATATATAATATAGATATATATATATATTAATTAATTAATTAATCAATATATTATATTATATTATATTATATTATATTATATTATATACATTTCTGATGCTTCAAACTTCAGTCCCCACTTTTCATGGTGAAATCCCACCATCTGTGAGATCCTGCTACGAGGTGCGGCGATGTGTTTCCACTTGGAATAGTCCAGGCCATAGCTCCGCATGGTGTCGTGGCCCGTGGCGGCCAGTGACCCCCAAAGCTTGGAGTCTTCGCACTACGACATCCAACAAGAAAGGATATCTAATGGAATATATTAACCATTGGTTATATATGGGATTTACCATTGGTTATTATATAATAGCCATTAAAATTATTACTAACCAAGGATAGGAAGGTTCCTGGAACTCGGAACTCAAATTTGATACTTTTGATATCTTTTGATGAGTCGTTTTTCTGTGAAGTGCAATGGGTGTATTGATCTAGCTCAGAAGCAAGGTGCCGACCCCTACCGCCTGGGTCATGTGAAAATGGGATTCAAAAACTGCTGTGTTGCATTTCCCCTTATGATGGTTTTGGGTCAGCGCAAAGCCTGTTCTTGAACCAAAAAACAGCGCACAGGTCGCAACTGCCTGATGAAAATGAAACTTCTGAAAACCATCCCTGTGAATCGCCACCCCATGGCTTCGTAAAGGCGGCGTCGAAATCACAAAAATCTCACAGCCTTTTGCTCTCATCTCCACAAAGACTTGGCGTGTCCAACCATGATACCCCAATCGGTTTGTGTCCGACCTCTTCCATGTTTCGACTCCCCCGCCTGGCGCACCAGCGCAGGCAGCAGCACGGCATTGGCCATGAGAGCTCGAGAATTTTCCTCAGTCGCAACGGCTATGGCGGCTATGGCGGCTATGGCGGCTATGGCGGCTATGGCGGCTATGGGACCACAGATTCTTAGATGTAGATTGATGTAGATGTTTAACTCGTCCCATATATGCCTTTAGTAATACGCCCATCGCCCATATATACCTTTTGTATTACCCACATATACATATATATATATACATATATATGGACCGATATATTGACCATCTAATTATTGGGCTATCCAATTTTAACCAAAAAAAACATATAATTCTCACTGTAATGGTTATCTGCCATTGATGCTTTTGTATGCTTTTGTAAATTGGTTCTAGCACGCAATTGGTTTAACCTGTTCAGGTAAACTGTAATTAGTGCCTTTATTTATGTCCATCCATTTCATCCCTGTTTTCCAGTGGATGTCCATCCCCTATGGGTTCATGACAAAGAATTGAAGTCAATTGTTGGAACCAGACGAAAATTCGCTCACAACTTTGCAGGGCTACAAGCTGCCGCCAAGCTGCCCTATTCTCATCTGCCTCAGTTCTACCAAAAATCGTCCAATGGCATCCAAAATTGGAGGATACCTTAATAGCACAATTAAGATAACTAAGTGGAGAAGAAGTGAAGCATCAAATTTGGGGGGTTCCCCAAAATTTTCAGACCTTTAGCCATGTCTAACCGGCACCCTCAGGAAGCTACAGCCAGCAGAAGGATCTTCAGCAGTGCGTTGTCCATTTTGTGCAACGTCCCCTGGATGAAAAAAGGTTGGGAGCCAGCGGAGATCACACCAGAACCCAAAAAAATCTTTGGACCAGCTCTATTTTGAGCTTTTGAATTGCTTGGAAAATCTTGGAAAGCTATCTTGAAAGGTCTGTTCACTTGAATATGCCTTATATTCAAGACACGAAACATCAATTTGTTGGGTCCGGCCCTATGGCAGATTGGAAGGTCGTACATGGAAACGCTCGCATGAAAGGCGTGAAGGTTGCTTGCTTGAGTTTATGTATGGTCAAGGACCAAGTGCATTTGACCATGTCTCTATGTCTTTGTGAGTGCGTTTTGCGCGCTCACCACCTTGCATTGTGAGCATCTTTGTAGTTCAGAACTTCAACCACTTGACAGGCAAATGGAATGACATGTGAAAGACATATACGTTAGATACATGTTGTAGATGGATAACTTGCATGCGCACTCCACTCAAGTCTCGCTGCAAAAGCGGATTCTACAGCGTTAAGCTGATTGGGCACAATGTGGAGAATACAAAATAAAAGATCTTCCGAAATTGTCGATTTGAATACCAAGAGCTTGCAATGCCCCCATATATGGGGGTTGTCTGCATATTTGCTACATACATGTATAGATATGACATATACATCTGTATAGTATATATATAGTGTATATATATATAGTATATATATAGTATATATATATAGTATATATATATAGTATATATAGTGTATATATATAGTATATATAGTGTATATATATAGTATATATATATCATATCATAAATATATGAAAAAATATACAAATGTATGTCTATGTGCAGGTGGGTGTTTCTCTCCAGTGGCTCCTCACATCTCCCAGGCCTTGTCGAAGGTCTCAAAATCCACATCATCGCTGCCAGCACCGCGCCTTGCTCAAGTCGGAGTACCAAGGTGCGGATGATCAAAAACTCATGGAACCTTCCAGCATATTGGGTCATCCTATCATTTATGGCTACCCTTGTGGCTACCTTAATCAAATCTACCATACTGAGGCTGTAGTCTTTGGTCATTGACGCCTCATTTTAAGGATCGGGTCATTTGTTCGGTGGAACTTCTCCAGGATCGTCCAGGTTGGGAGGAGAACATGCTCCTAATATCAACAACCCCCTTTATGGGGCCTGCAGAATGAACAAATCCACTACCAAACCAAGATTTTGGGGGGCATGAAATATGTTGAGGGATTGTATCATGTTTTTTCTGGGTAATCCTCCTCAACTCCCCATGATTGCTGGGTAAGTTCCTACACGAAATCTTAAGCGCGTTCAGCTTCCGGCAGCTGTGGATGCTGCGTCTCGTGGAGGAAACGCCTCAGGCAAAATGAGCATCAGGGATTTGCCCCATCAAGATAATAGGATTTACCCCACACAAAGAAAAATCCGTTCTTCCATTAAGTCACGTATTTTTTCAGCTTGCTCATGCCTCAACTGCGGTGGGTTCCACTGTGCTCCGCACCACAGGGCACGCATGACATGCGCCGCCTTGGTCGCCAAACTTGTGAAGTTGGATGAGTTTCACATACCAAGAACTCAGTTATTGGATGAGTATAGTACTATATAGTACTATAGTTCCCATAATATCTACATGATTTCACTATATTTCACATGGGAATTTGCCAAGAATTTCCAAAAAACCTTGCCGACCCAAACGCAGAGCTTCCGGGCCAGCTCCACGGCAGCAGTGGAAGTCAAAACATTCAACGCAGTGGGCCTTGGCACTCGGTGTTTAAATTTTCTCCGTTGTGGTCCCCATATTCTCTTCCGAAAAAGAAAAAAACGAAACGGATCACTTGGAATCGTAGAAATCTTGCAAATCCAAAAAGTCAGTCCAGCCACTGAAAGAACATAGGAAAACCAGACCCAACCAGCACACTCAGCAGATGTTGTTCTCTAACAGAACTAGGACTTCCAACGCTTTCGCCGTCTCCCTGAGTTTCGTGACCTGGTCCTCTGTGTGGCAGCGGAAAGCAGCGGCTGTTCGGAAAACCCTCCCACGAAAAGCAGGGAAAAGCTGTTGAGATGCTTCATACTTAATCATGCTATCTATATCTGTCTATCATACTTAAGTATGATTCGCTGATTTGTTGCTTGAAACATATTGAAACAATCCCAACACAAACTTCTTGAGCCACATTCAAATCGATTCAAATATTCTCCAAGCACTCGCATTTCTTTTGTTGGGCTAAGGGCTGCCAGACACTTTATCAGTCGCAGAGACACGGCTCCTGTGGCGGTACAGCTGCCATGGCCATCTGCAAGCCCTCATTCCCTGGTGCGCAGCTGGTACTCATTGATCGTTGAGAAATGGCTATGTGGTACAGTTGAGCAACTCTACACTTTACAGGTTGAATTCGGGTTGTCTGAAACTAAGGTACCCCAAACTTGCTACATCATGTTCTCGTCAGTTTCTCCATGACATGTGCGTTTTAGTTTTGCAGCACACCTTGCAGGTCGAGGAGATCCAAAGGCACCAGCCTCGCCACAGCAAGAAAATTCAGGAAGCCTTGGGTGGAAAAAAAATGCAAACCCCCAAAGTGTTCCAAACCCGTTCCACTGAGTGCGCGCCTCTTGGTGGTTTGTCTCTCCATGACTGCGGTCATAAAGTAACCGATCTCATCGAAAAGGGAGACCCAGCGGTGCCCAAACTCCCTCCCAAAATGGAACCCCCAGAAGGGTAGAAAAGCTTTTCTATTTTTTTGCGGGGTTCAAAGATGATAACTCCAGGTCTAGGGACTCCAAAAATGAATCCACTGCGAAACCAAGGTTTTGGGGGATGTTTGTTGGTACGGATGAGGGAGTAGTGCCGCACAGAAGGAATGAACATCGGCCAAAATTGAGACCTGAACTACAACACATGTCCAATTCCAAAATCGAAAGTGCCTGGATGTCCCACGTATGGTATGAGATAAATGTCGCAGCGATTTTTTGAGCTCCAAACACATCGAAGGGAGAAAAGGTTCTCAGCGAGGGAGATGAAGGAAAGACTCGGCCTACGAGAAGAGGATTGCTGTTTGGCTGAGAATGGGATTCCCACAATGGATGATCATCCCCAATACATTGGATAGTGTAACCCCCCACAAGCCCCACAATCATCAAGCAACAAGGGGGTTTTGACTGACCGCTCACTTCAATATATGTATGTAATATTATGTAATTACAATATATATATATACAGCCATTTCGTGACTCGTGCTCTTGACGTTGTTGCTGAAGGCAAACAACCCCGACTGCTGGACTCTCCCCATTTCAGTGGCTTCACTGACTCCCATTTTTCCTTCAACCCCGTGAGAATCTCCAATGTACTGAATTTCCACGGCAACAGGTAGGATTAGATCAGGCTCCCCAATCTCCCAATAAACGATTCCACAACTCCAATGGTCCAAGATGTCCAAGGTACGCTGTGGTGATCAGCTGACAAAGGTCCGAGCAGGAGTCCTGAAAAGCGCCGGAACTGCATGGGCCAACACTGAAAATTTGCTTCACATTCCATGTGTCACTCCCCATAAAATGGCCACAAAGCACATTGAATTCGCATTCCAACCCCTTGTCAATTCATCCAAATTGGACTGAAATCATTTGATCAATCTCCAAACACAAGACAGATTTGTTCCACGATTTTTCCCGTTCTCTTTGGCCATTGTGCCGGGGAAACCCGGGGAAACCCCGCAGTCCATGGTGAGGAGATTCTGCGAGAGATCCAAGGTTTGAAGCGACGGGCAATCGACCAAGGCTTGAGCCTGTGGATCCACCAAGCTCGGCCATGAAAAGGGTTGTCATGGAAGGACAGCACCATTCAAAAAAACTCGTGGGCATTCGTGGGCCATGTGGGCTTGGAGATGTCCTAATTGGGTAATGAGTGATTGCCAAAAAAATCCATGGACGGTTTAATACGAAAATGACCAATTCTGTGATGTTTGACCATGACGAAACACCCGTTGTTCGAGGTACCTGTCGCAAGATAAGTTATACAATTGTCAAAAGCATTGTGAGGTTGTTTCTTGGCAAATTGTCTCGAATTGCATTATCCTGTCTTTACTTGAGGCCAAGGGTAAGTGGCGAAAGCTAGCAAGGCCGTTGCGTGTCGGGTGAAAAAAGTGTCCAGGTGCAGGGACATTCCTCCCAAACACCTTGCTGAAGGTAGCAATGTTGGGAAACGTCGGGAAAAGGAACAACATGAAAGAAAAGGAAAGAAAACAAAACGTTTTCGAAAGAAAATGGTCCAAGAAATGCCGAGGAGAATAAGAAAAGAAATTGCAGCAACATCATGATATGCCGATGAAGCAATATATGGCCCTCACCCCTATCCAAGGTGCATTATTAGCCCATCATTTGACAAACAAACCAGCATCAATTATGCATAATTATGCTATACCCCGTTGTGCTCAAGGCCGATCTTTAGTGGTTAAATGTCCCTTTTCAAATATGTCCCCATAAGATTCGAATTGCTTCTTTCCATAGGGTTAACACAATTTCTGAGTGTTTAAGCCCCGCTGGTTTCCCCAGTTTCTTACCCTTTGGTAAACTAACATAGCTATGGAAAATCACCATTTTTAATCGGTAAATCAACTATAGACTATAAATGGCCATGTTCATTAGCTATGTTAGTTTACCAAAGGGTAATTGAAGAATCCCCCAGATTTTTTGAGGCAACCAACAGCTGGGTGTTTTTTTCGCCAAGAAACCAAGGTTCCAAAGGCCACATCATTGATGGCCGCATTGCGCAGCAGAGCCTCTGCGATGCTGTGGATATTGCCCAAGATATTGTACTAAGATATAGCAACCCCAAAAAAAGATGCAGAAAAGTCAGATTTAGTTCTGTTGAAAAAATGGTAAATCGAATCTTTTTGTATCTATATTTCTTCGGGGTACTATAGATATTAGCCATAATGATCATGCATTTTATGACATTCAATGACAAGCGTAACGAAACACAAGAAATATCGCAAAGTGCGACGAAACACAACCAAAATGTGTACAAACATATTCGCGAAAAATCATCCACAACCCCAAAAGTACAGCAAAAATATGGAGAAAGCCAACAACCCCATCAATATTAACAAGCCCAGTGCTTCATAGTGCTTCCCGCCTGCTGCAAATCCTTGTACTTCATCCACTGGTCCACAACCTTGCTATATGTGCCATGGAAAACGTTGGGGACCCATGGTCGGTCATCCATCCCAAATTGGGGAATCCAAACATAATAGTTGTATAAAAATGTATAAAATCCCTATTCATGACCCCGAAGTATGGGAAAACAACCGATTTTTTGATGGCCCTATGGAGCATCTGAACCACTCTGAAAGAAGCGCTTACGTCATGAGACCTGAAAATGACGCTGGACCACTTTCACTTTGCATGGTTTTTCTGACGACTACCAACTACTTCTGTTCAAACATATTGGAACGCAAAAATCTCCAACTTGAGGCTAAGTTTGTGCAAGAAATTCCTAGGAGCTAGGGGTTGCAAAATTCAACCATACCTACATGAAATATAAAGTCAAACTAGGGATTCATAAAGCTCTCGATAGTTTGCTTAGGAAATTGTGCAGCAAATTCTCACTTTCTTGCGTTAAGCCCCTTTGATTGATTAGTGGAAGATCCCTTGGAATGGTTGGTGGGGATTTCCAGTGGATTTATGATCATCACCAATGTATTACTTATAACATGGCTTGGTCTGAGACCCCAAAAATCTGAGTTCAGCATTTTCTCTGCAGAAAAATGCCATCAGAAAAAATCACTATCTACACAGCCTCTCTGCCATTTTCAGACCCATATAAACAGTAGGTACCAGCTGAGTTCTCGACTCTCATCAGCTTCATGGAGACCTCAAAAAAGCGGCAATTTGGGTTGGCGATACGGGGATACCATGGGAAAAAACGCAGATCCAGAGGTGTCCTGAAAAAAATGTCCCTTCAAAAAAAGACTATCAGCTTCGGGGTTAGAGATGAAAGAAATCGGAGATTCACTAGTCGACTAGTCCAACCATGATCTAATCATTGGACTGATTTTTGGTGTTTTACAGAAACACCAAGAGCTAAAATTGCCATCAAATCTAGGGGTGGTCGCCAGCAGATGTTCCCATCATCCAATTCTGGGAGCTGAAAGTTGTACTTTGTCGGTTGAAAATTCGATATGAACAAATGAAATGGGCATTGGACTATACCAAATTGGGATGTTTTTGGTTTTCTGACCAACGCAAATAATATGTTCACCTTCAATCAACCAAAATTTGATTTTTACCAGCAACTATACCCTATGTTCAGATAAAGCCACCTATTGTCCCAGTCTTCCCTACTTAATCTCACACTCCATGCATTTGTGGAGATCCTAAAATAGAACATCTATTGTCCATTCATGACAGCCCCTCGCGATGCACCTGGCTGGTCCTTTCTCTCCTGGCATTCCGCAAGCTCAACCGGAAAGCAAGCCATTTGTATGTCCATTGGTATCCAGTATCAGCCACTTTCAACACCTGCCGGGGCGACATGTTGACTTCCTGGGAGGCGTTGGCACTGCTCGAGGTGGCCTCAGAGCCGCGCGCAAGCACGGCAGGTTTCTTTTTGCAGCTGCAGACCAAGGCCGTGCCCGGGCGCCCCAGCAGTTGTGGCACCTAATATGGGCGATGCGAAAGTGGCTTGAACCAAGCATTTGATCAACCATTTGATGAGGATGTAAATGGAGATATGTTATATGTTTGATTCTTGGAGATAATGGAAATATGTTGTATGTTGGACCAAGAATTTCCTACGGTGATTTTTGACGAGAACATGTTATGTTGCATATTGTCACCAACTTGATATGAGATTTGGATGTCTGAAAACCAGGGATTGACCCCCTTTCAGATAAGGCCAAATGGGAATGTACAGTACAGGGGGGATTTGAACAACAACGATTGCGGTATGAAACCGACCATGGGGATATCATTGGGATTGAAGGAATGTAACAAACCAGATGATATTTGAGATTGTCCAGAATTGGACAAACAAATATTTACCAACACGCACACACATCCTTTATATATTGTTGAAAAAACTGGGAAAGCAATTTGTTGGTAATGTTTTACAAAAAAAAAAACACAATAATGGGGACGACAGAATGATGGGAATAATCGCCAACGAGAATTGTATGTAATGTCAACCCCGGATTGATAAACCCGGGGTACCATTTTAGTAACAGATTATCACTATTTGGTTGGGTACCCCCAAATTAATCAACCAGTGTTTATTAATCCAGGATTTGAATTATCAACTTAGCAACCAAAGATGGGAATATTCCTCCGATATGGTTCAAAATGCTAATATCATATCTATGTATCTATATATACATTCTACCAACCAAGTCTAAAAATAGAATGCATATTATGTATAATATATAAATATTAAGATATACCAATGGTTGGGAAATCATGTGATTGGGAAATAGTCTACCATAAGTACTGAAACATTCATGGTTGGGAATAGTTGCCAACAAATTTTCGCGGCAGATTACAAGATCTGGGGGCTGGTCACCAAATCTACCAGGTCGTCACCATGGTGTTTTTTTCACCAAGCCGCTATGGTTTTCTTGTAATCCCACCCCTTTTTTATACAAAACACCCCCCCAGAAACCATGGCTTAACAAGGGATTTACACATATTTGGGACCATAGAATGGGGTGTTTCATATTGGGGGATGGGATCAATTTTTCCCAAAGAAATTCGCAAGAAATCGACTCCTTTGAGGCCCCCAACCCATGGAAAGCTCCTGAAGCTTTCGTTCCAAGCGATGTGTCTCGCTAATCACCTGTTGCATGAATCACCAAGCAGATTTTGCTGGCTGTTGCACCATGTTTATCCCACATTTCCCTTTTGGGTTGGTTCAAAACCCTTTCAAGAATAGCCCCACAACCGTTAGGGCGGAGAAAAAAATCATGTGCCAGATATCTCATCACAAACTATCGCTGGAGTGGTGCAAAACCATCAGGAGATCCGCGATCCGCGCACCTGGTCTTTCGCACTGACCTCATCGTCCAACTTGCGCCTCAGCGAGCCCAGGTCCCGGGGACATCGCCATAAGCCTACCATGACTGGGGATGCTTCAAATCCCATTTAACATTTTGGGATATTTTGGGGATGGTTGATTAAACTGGGTTTACCACATTCAAGATGGCCAAACCACCGGCTTTGCTACGGTCAGAGGTTGAAATCAACATCCTGCATCTCTCTGACCCTCTCTTTGAGTGTCCCACGTCAGCTGGACCATCTGCATCTTCATCTTCTCCAAACTGGGCGCCGAAGCAGCCCCGCTACCAATTCTCTGAAAGAGGTTTGGGGCGCCAAAAAATGGTATGCTTCACCTCATGAAAATGGAGTCGTGAACACCATTGAAATGAGGAAAATCTAGCAAATTCTGCCTCGAAAAGGCGGTGCTTTTCAGCAAAAGAATGTCATTCCTGCATGTGACGCCATAGTGAGACGGTCTAAGTGTTGGCTCCTCAAAATGTCGTCTTGCCCCAAGTGGCTTCGCACCCACAATGAGCAATCACTACTGCACCAGAGCTGGGATCGCCCCACTCTTGCACCTTCGATCTGACACTCTGCGCCTCGGAATTGCAACATGTATCCCGTGGTCCGTGGTTTCGGGGCCGGAAAAAAAGTCGCCACAAAACCAGCCAAAATGTTCTAGTTGAAGGGACCAGCTATGTTTTCCAATCTACATATCTATCAAGTTTCTAAATCCATCATGATCTGGTGAGTCTGATATCTTTGCCCTTCCATTGGATCCACACCTCCAATTCCGCCACAGATCTCTCACTTTGGACCTGCTACACCAGCTGGTTGGTGGAGGTTCACACCAGGGAATCAACTCCCAAAGGTGATTTTAAACGATAAGGTTCTGTAAAATGAACAGTTCACCCCCCTACATATACAGTATGTATGTGTATGTATATATATATATAGCATTATATAACACTTGTACCAACTGAAAAAGCCTCTCACGTGGGTTCCACTCCAATTTCCAACCAAAACATCTTGCTCTACCGTCACCTGGGCTTCAAGGTTTGACTTTTCCTTTTGGTGAAGTTCCTGCACGATTGACTTGGCAGACACAACTTGACTCGGCAACCAGTTGATCAATGCAAGACCCCAGTGATTAGTAGGAGTCCTCTGAATATTGATCATTCCACTTACAAAAAGGGACCTCAAATCCGAAAATCCTTTCCCTCAATTTTTTTTACACACCTTAAGAAACCTTGGGTTACTGCTGACTCTCTTAATTTCCCGCTTTTGTATGTAGGTGCATGTGCGAACATAGATATGGATATAGATATGGACAAACATCCAGATGCAGATATAGATATAATATAATATATATATATATAGATAAATGTAGATGTACAGATACAAAAAGATATAGACGATGCTTAACTCCCAGGGGTTGGTCAAAGCTGAGCAAGTCCTTCAATGCCATCACCTCACGCTTGAGGCGGTCATTCTCCTGGCACCATTGTAGGCCATCGATGCATCAAGAAATGCAGTGAAAATTTCGAACTAACAGGACCATGCAATTTATATATATGGGGATGGGTCAAAACCCTATCCCCCTGGTGAACATCAAAATGAACATCAAAATAGCTGGTAAATGGATGTTCATCCCATTAAAAATGGTATTAATAGGTATTGATCCATAGCCATATATCAACAGTGGATCAACAAAATGGACCATCTATTCCTCATACTCCATGGAAATTCAACAGTTTGTTATGGAGAATCATCATTTTTGATAGGTAGATCAAAATAATCTATGAAACTAAATTAAACTAAATTAGCTCATATAGTATGATACAATATACAATATATGATATATAACATAAAACATGTATGTTCTATTACAATATTAAAACATATAAAACATAAAATATAATATATACTATATAATATAATATTATATAATATAATGTAGCATAATATAACATAATATAATACAATACAATATAATATAATATAACATCATATAACATCATATAATATAATATAATATAATATAATATAACATAATACAATATCTATCAATATCTATATACTATATAATATATAATAAAATAAAATATAATATAATATAATGTAATATAATATAATGTAATATATTATATTTTATTGTAATATGATATAAAATAATACAATACAATATAATATGATATAATACAATATAGCATAATATAACATAATACAAAAACCAATATCATATACATATGCACATACATGTACATATACATATACATATACATATACATATACATATACATATACATATACATATACATATACATATACATATACATATACATAAACATATACATATACATATACATATACATATACATATACATATACATATACACATACACATACACATACACATACGCATACACTGTATATACAATGATAGTGATAGAAACAAATAATTTATATCATCAATGTGTCACAAAAATTATTAGGTTTTTGCTTTTCGATTCTATACTCTTTGACGTTGCTGAAGATGTGCAATTATATGTCCCCCTGCTGATCATGGCGCCTCACTCATCTTGGACAACAAGTCTGCATCTCGCGCGGCGGCCATAGCCGCGGGGTCCACCTACGGATTGCAGAAATTCTGGGTATCTTCCATCCTTTTTGGTGGCCCAAAATTTGAAATTTTAAAAAAGAAACCCATGATGAAGTGACACTTCCGGCAAGCTCATGGATGTATGGATCGAACTTTTTGTGAAGACTAGAGCGTGCTCTGCCTTTCAAGGCAGCCCTTGGTGACGGCTTTGCTGATTCAAGGCAGACATGACCCGCGCTCACACGGTACCTCCTCATCTCCCATTGCTCAGAGACGAAGCCCAGAGAAGCACAGCAAGAGACAAAATCATGTAATTAAGGACATATATCATATAGTGGTGACATGGTGGTAACATGGTGGTGACATGTGGTGACATGGTGGGGCTGAGGGCATCCTTTTTCAGTCCTGGTCCAGTTGTGTTTGTTTCCTGGAATGTCATCGCAAGTCACCTGTCGTGCTAATTTATGAGGTTTCATCCTTGCGTGGTCGAGTTGAAAGTCATGAATCCATCGAGTTCGCACACTGGGCAGCAGCAGAATCCATCTTCACCATGAGGACTCGCGCTATGTTTCCCCTTCCAAACCAATGTGAGTAGAGGCAGCAACGGGTCATTGGAGGGCCACAATTTCAAACATTGTGACCCGCAAAACTTGGAACAATATATGAAGTATTTCCACTATTGTATTCCTTTGATATTCCCATAAATTGGTTGGCTCAACTACATAGAATATCCTCAATATGTATCTATATATATATATATCCATATAATCAATATACCTCCACTGTTGCCGTTCTGCGCAACCCAGCAGCCCAGCAGTGATCCCCACAGACTGATCCTTGCACTGCTTTGCCACTGATGGTCCCTGAGGAAATGAACGCAATGAAGATGGGCAGAAATTAGTTTGCAACATGTTGTCATGTTGTAACCAATAAAAAATTGGTTTGATCGGCTTTGTGAAGGAATAACAATTGGGGTTTTGGTATGTACCATATTTCGTTTGTTGTCATCCACATTTATTTTGTGGTTCTACACCACAAAAAATTCATGACAAATTTACCCATCAGCCTGTTAGACCACAATTTCGTGGATCAAATGTGCAAAAAATATTTGGAAAAACCATGATCACACAGAAGCGACTGTCAGAATTTGGAAAAACCATTTGATGCCATCGGATTTTTCAGGTCGAACCACACGTGCCTTAGCCTTCTTGGTCTTTGGTCCAGCAGCGCTGGTGGCAGGACGCTTAGTGGGAGCCTGGCCAAAGTTTGTTTGGGATGTAACGTGTTTCATTTGAGTAATATGATAATTCAAATCTCAATTTTCAACAAAATGTCTGTGCAAATAGCGTTGTCTGAACCATCCTTCAAGAGAAAAAAAATTGATTACCACAACCGTTCAGGGAATGCAATGCTTCAAAATACATGCCATTTTTTTCTACAAAACAAGACACCCCTGCAAACCGCGCACCATTGATTCAGAAGGTCCGCGAAAAAGGAACTTGTTGTGGCCAAACAGAGCAATTGTGAGCCGAACTGCGTGTACATTTGCATGCAAGTCGGATGAAAACTGAAACCACAACCAACACATGGACTACGACTGATTTTTTTGACATTTTCAAAGCTGACAGTTTGCGCACAATAAAAACATTTTATGTTCAATTCCAAAAATAAAAAGCATGTCCAGACACCGGTTTTTCCCCCAATTTTTGAATTCCACGAAGCTGTTCAAAACAACATCACACAACTGCGAGCGCAGGATCAACCAGAAGAATGGTCACAAATGTAAAAGACATGTTCTATGTCGCAGTGTGTTCAACAGTGTGAAAACAGAGTGGATCACACACCACACCGCAATTAGGATGATTCCACCGTTTTGATGGTGACCAACACAATACTTGCAAGAAATATGAGACAATAATGTCGATGAGCGCACCAAAAACGGAGACGGAAAGTTTCGGCGCGCCCAAACAGCGATCGACACCAAAACATAACCCGAGCATCACCACCTGCCCCTTAAACAAAATTACCCCGAAATAGGACTTTCCTAGCCAAAAAAAGGGTAACATGAAACCACCGCGAGAAAAGTGGAGCAAAGAGGTGTGAAACTCACACAAAACTGCGTTGTTTTTTTTGCCAAGGCGGCGAGCCTCACAATAATCAACTCAACATGATATTCGTGTGCCCGACATGAGATGACACCGGTTCCTCTTGGTGTGTGTCATCCTTGCCCATGTCATGGTTGTCGGTAGCATCTACAAACTTTAGCACTCCTCCTCAAACTGCTGCGTTTGCCTGCCATCTTTGCAAACTACTTCCAAACGCATTCATCCAAACATTGTCTTTGGACGCGCATCTTTCGGTAATTAGTTTCATCACTGCATTAAGCTACTCATGTCTCCAACATACATTTGAATTTGAAACCTTTCTGCGCGCTCATCAAGTCCTTCGTTTCTGTGGTACCCATAAGGCCGCCGTTGGAACACATTTCTGATGCTTGTCACCGCTGCCATTGAAATACCTTCAAGATTTGGACCTGAAGTTGCATCGATCAATCTGATGGCTGCTTGTTGAATCTAATTTGCCGCCACCCAATGTTCTTAAAACAATGCAGTGCCCTCGTCTGCGCGCATGTGATCCAGCAAGGCCGTTGCACCTTCAGGGGCCGCATGCACGCTTTCATCATCTTCTCTATTTTTTTTTTCCGTCCAACGCCTTCATGGCTTTCGCCAGGTCGTTCAATACGCCCCATGGCATCGCAAAATCATTAATTTCCAAATTAAAACGCGAGGCCGTCTGCTGATTGAGGACCGCAAGAGAGAACTGGTGACGGACCTGTACATAGCCCAAAAAGCCGTCATTTCCACAAACAAAACAAACAACAGCAAACAGACAACAAAAACAAGAAAAAACCAAAAACAACCAAACAAAAACCAAACAAAAAACCAACACCCACAGGAATGACAGACTACCAGTCCATTGGAGGATTCATGCAAGAGGCGACAACTTTGTGTCATCTCATCTTGGTATGGCCACAAACAAAAACACAAAAAAGGGAGAACACCGACACACACAAGGCCATACCCACAGGTGATAGAAGCAACACAGCACCATGCGGAAACCAGGGATCCCCCCAGCCAGGAGCTTTCATCATCTTCTCTAGTTTCCGCACCATCTAAGGTGGGTCTGTCGTACCTTGCGTTAACCGTTAGCATGTGCGAACGTTGTTTAGCACAGAAATGTGCAAAAAAATGTTTGAACAAGCAACGACTTCTTTACTTGATGCATGAAACGGAGTTGGTATGACCTTAGTTTGAGACTGTTGGTAAGGAGAAATTTGCAAGACATACGGCAAGACTCGGAAATGCACGCAGCCGAACGAATTTCTTAAACAATTTTCAGAATGGCTCTGATGGACCTGGGACAGCCAAACAATTTCTTTGTTCCCGATGAGGAAAACTCCTTCTGGATTTGCGTTATGGTGTTTTTATTCACATGTGCGTTCACGCTGTTTTCTTTGATGGCCAAATACAGGATTCTGTTCAAGGTTTGGAGACGGATGGTCACTGGGTGCAGCAGCATGTGGCCAGACCATTATGACTACAGTCGAGGTCCCTTTCTGGCCGCCATGTTTCTACTAGTTTTTTGGATCCTGTTTTAGGAGCCATGATGAAGCAGGTTTGTTGGCATTCGAGGCGCTCCAAGGCTTACCGAGGCCTGCCCGAGGCACGCATGGCAGCCTCAAGGTTGCTGCGCATGTGTTGGTCAAGCCGTGGTTTGCCGCGCCTCCTCCTTGCACCTTTCACTGCTCCGTCAGAAAAGTTAAAAAATGCCCATAGAAGATATACATCTTGCGCTGGCTCCCAATCCAAGAGTTTTATTTGGTTCCTGTGCGCCTTCTAATGCAGTTTCGGTTGCAGGCGGTTGGTGGGTTGCTGCAGTAGGTTTTGTTGTGTTGTCTTGCAGCGATATCGCTCATGTGGCTCTCGGGCGTGTCCTGGTGGGTTAGTTAGTGGCTGGACATGGTGTTGGAGTCGCATTTGGAGGTACCTTGCGGGTTGGATCTGAAGTCTCAAAGTCTTGTGATTGAAAGCTTCCTGTCGGGAGTAGGGCGGTACTTAGTGCCATGGGGGAAGGTTTTGGCGGCAGCAGGTTCAAAGTCCTTTATGGCCCTAGTTTCTAGGGTCACAAAGGAAACAACATGTGTGCAGTGTGGAGGAATCTATTGCAGGTTCTGGCACGCGAGCTGAACCACTTGAAGCAGCAGCACAAAGCGTTGCGACAGGCATCTCAACTGTGTTGCTTTGGCTTGCAGACGCAATTTTTCACTGTTTTCTGATGTTGGCCCTCTTGAGACCATCGCGGAGAACAAGAAAGAACAGAAGTCGGCGGCAAAGCGCCGCCAGCGGTTGCTAAAAGCAGCCCAACAGCCGCCAAGCTAGGATGTGCGTTTTCCCACAGCGCGGAGCGTATAGTTGATGAACTTGGCCTACTATACCCTGAAAACCGTGGAAATTTGCGGAAAAACATGGCCAGCGTATAGCGTATATGTAGTTGGTTCAATTCGATAAAAAAAACCCTACTAAAAAAAATGTTTCTTAGAATGTAAGCTGACCGGCCAAAATGGATCTCACGCCACAGCGCGGAGCGTTTAGTAGGCTACTAAACCGTCTGGCCCGCAACACCAAAATTGCGTTCTCGCCACAGCGCGGTGGGTTTAGTTGGGCTCTTTGTTTGCACCATTATTTTACGGATTCCATTTGTTTGCGTGACGGGCGCAGCACTTGAGAACCCCGACGCCCATAAAAGGTTGAAGCGCGGCAGGCACAGCGCTTGAGAACCCTGAACGGCAATCTTAAAAGTTGAAGCGCGGCAGGTGCAGGGCAACTCCGTGCGGCCATCGTAAAGGTTGAAGCGCTGCAGCCGCAGCGCTTGAGAACCCAGTAGGCCATCTTTCCTTGCATGGCCCCCACAAGGGCCAACACAAACTGAACCCCTGCGACCCCATTGTCAATGTTGAGGGTGTGTTGATGCTGTTGCAACAAAGAAGTGAATTCCAATCTGAGGATGTGACCTGAGGCAAAATTTATTTTTAATGGCTATCAGTTCAAAAGGTGAAACTGCAACATTTAAGCTTCCGTCCAACATTGAAGATGGGACACGGGGATTTAAACATGCGTCAAATCCTCATCTTGGATTTGCAACTGCAAGTCTGGAGTCTGGAAGCGCAAACATCGACGATTTCCCTTTGCAGGAGGCACTCTTAG